TCATGGCAAATGGGCAGCAGGCTATGGGCACAAGTGATGTGTACCAGATGGGTGAACGCAACGAAAACATAGAAAATCTGTTGAAAATCGAAAAACACAAAAAAACACTGAAAAAACACACACCTCCAGGGCGTCGTACTCTCTTTGTTTTTCACATCACTGTCATCGGCCCCGCAAAAATATCATCGACTTCACGGCATTGTCGTCCCTTGGCCTAAGTGCGTGCTGACTTGGAACACCGGTGAGGAAAAAAAACATAAAACTGGCAGACCCCGACAGCAGTGGGACGACAGGCAGCAGTGTGTCGTTACACAGATCTTGAATGGTGCGTTGGACAAGTGGTTTTAGGCCAAGTAACGAAGAAACTTGTCGGTTTCTGCTTGCGATGACCTGATGTGAAAGTGAATAGTTACTTTTCATTTTGTTGCCACCCATGGGCCGTCCGAACTTTGGGCCACATGCTCCATTTCAAACACACACGCGGGATCTCATTGTATCTACATATGTGTGCTGGCTTCGGTCAGTCCAACGAACATCGCGGAAAATGGTGGTGTTCAGCAGTCGCGGGGTTAAATTTCAAACAAAACACGTGGATGGCCTGTCAGCATTGTGGTTCAGTCAACATCCGTGTGTGGACTCAATGTTTGAAGCGGTGGACGCGAGGCTATGTCCGGGTCTTGTCCTCCTGTCCTGTTGTTGTCCTCCTCTTGTCCTTCTCTTGTCCTTCTCTTGTCCTCCTCTTGTCCTCCTCTTGTCCTCCTCTTGTCCTTCTCTTGTCCTCCTGCTGTCCTCGTCTTGTCCTCGTCTTGTCCTCCTCTGGTCCTCTTCTTGTCTCTTGTCCTCCAGTTGTCTTTGCTGCTGCCGTCTTCTGGCCGCGCTGGCGAAACCTGTGTCCTTGTCTGGTCCTCCTGGTGTCCTTCTCCTGCTTCTAGTGGCCACGTTTGCCTGGGCGTCCTCCTGCTGTCCTCGTGCCACGTGGAAAACCCTGTGTTCCTCTTGTCCTTTGTCCAGGTCTGCCTGTCCTGCTTGTCCACGTTGTCGGCCCTTTTATCACCGCCTTGTCCCGGCCTTGTCCCCAGCCGCTTTTGTTTCTCCACAGCCTTGTCTGGGTATGTTTTCGTGCGGCTATGAATGCAACAGTGATACTGCATTGGAAACTTGAGAGAGGAGGGGGTGAACGAAAGGTAGCAGGCAATCACAAGCAACCCTGGTAAAAGTCCATGACGGCGTGAGCCGGCGCAGGGGGGATTTGATACAGGGGGGGGGCTTTGCCCCGACGAACAGAATCAACTCTTACAGGACCAAATTCAATGCGCAATCCCAACTCCTGATTGTAATACATTTTTGCTAAAGCAAGGAGAACTCACGTAACTCAAGCTACCTTTCGTGATGTGATATCACCCTCGGATATTCTCATGACATCCATCCGATATCCCATAGCTATTGCGCATGTGACACGGGCATCACAAACTATATAGTGTTTTCAAACGTTTGTTGTTTAGGTGCAGTTCCCAAACAGCTTCAGGCTATAGAAAAGTATACTTGCAGGTGTTTCCACCAACATTGGAACTCACGGAGTTGATGCCGACGACCGCTGTTTGGGGTCCATGCTGGTATAATTAAGATCAGCGCTGACAAACTCAACGTGTTGGAGTTCATGAACTCCAAAACAATAATCCCACTAGCCCAAAACGCATGATCTTTAAGCGCTTGGCATGTTGCTTGCCGGGCAACCCCCCCCGTTTACCCAACATGTTGTAATGCAACTGGCTCTGAAAGTAATTACTGGGTTGACTCCCACAAGCACCTTTCCATTACATGAGGTTATGCAAAGAAACCTTTATATTTCCGAACAATGTTTGACGTTATCGTCGTTATTTTTTGGTTCAATCCTTGTTTTACAATCGTTTACAATGCTTTGACTAACTGCAGCATGCGTGATATATAGTGTGTGCATGCAACATGTGGTGCGTGGAATCTGGTAGACATGAAATCAATTCATGGAGATCACACGTGTGGGCCTGTCTACAGAAGGTGTTTTAGGCTCGCTGCATTATCGTTTTTGCTATTGCCTTGTTATCGCTTTCGTGCCTGGTGCAAACCCGGCTTGCCGAGTGCGGGGTCTGTACTCGACACACTGAACCCTTGTGCAAATCTCTCATCCTTTCCATCCAAGAGTCCAAACATGGTTAGTTTTCTCTTTTGCTTCCTTAACTTTTTGCAGTGGATTCAGCATGCTTCTGGCAAAACGGACATGCAAAAAAACTCTTGCATTCTGTTTTAACACTTTCTCTCATGCTTTCTAGCAGGGGTTGACCCCCCCATTTCATAGAGGTAATTGTCAAGGGGATCTGCTCAGATAGGCTCTTTCCTCTACCAAGAGGTCCACTTCCATGATTTTGCGGGGTCAACGGAAGCAGCGGAAGCATGTCATACGGAAGCGGCTTTGGAACGGCTCCGTGCGACAAAAGGCTGTGGATCCGAAAGGACCGTGGCCAGAACTGCGGAGCCTTTGCCGGTGCCGAATCGGCTTGGGAGTCCAGCGTGCTTGGGAGTCCAGATGGCCGGCAGGTTTGCAAATCTGAAGAAAACTGGGTGAAGTTGCGCTGGCAAAGCTGGATCAGCGGTGGCAGATGGGTTGTCACATTCCTTGAAAAGCATCAGTGACCTGTCGTTAGTTTGGTGAGTCTGGCAGAGTCTGGGTTTGGTGCAATCGTTTGGTTCCCAGGCTTCCAGGGTGGCTTTGGGTGCTGAACGGTTTCTCTGGCTTTGTGGGTCAATTGACCAAGCACCGTGAGCCTGGAACGAACGGACGCAAGAAAAACGCAGAAAGACATGCTGCGAATGTGGGATGCATGCTGGAAGTATGTTCAAGTTAGCAACACAAACTTCAACGACGTGAAGGCGCCCTGGGCCAAATAGAAGAGGTCCCAGTAAAATGGTTCAAGAAGTGCGCAAAAGCTGCAGGTGTCCGAAGCTCACCCCGTCCAGTTCCAGGTCATGCCTCCAGTCCCTCTTGGAAGCCGTTCCCTCCGAAGCCAAGGCCCCCAAAAACGCCGTTCAGCCGAGATGAGAGATGTGGATCTCAGGCTCGGCCGGAGATGCTGGAGTCGCCACCGGACACGCGCCGCCGTGCACTCCCACCGTGGCCGGACTCGTTGGGAGGCGGAATCGAGGGTTGTAGCATGGGTGCGTGGAGCAGGCTCTGCGAAGACCCTGGCGGCCCTGGCAGTGCGAGTTCGGCACGGTGTCGGCGTTTCCAACCAACGCTTCTCATGCCAATGAACGCGCAAAATCAGTACAGTGGATTGAGAGTAGATGGCACAATCATTGAGAGTAGATGGTTTATATGGATCCCCATCTAAAAGACATCTTGGGGTGCCAGTGCCATCTACTCTGAAACCACTGTAACCAAGAGGGCCATGGAAGACAGTCACAACAATTCACAAAAAATGGTCTAACACTTACATCGGCAAACACAAAAAACAGATTGAGGCACAGCCGTACTCAACAAAGACAACATCTGCAGGCGGGCGAACATGATCATTGGATAGCCAGCAGATAGTCGATGATGGTCGGATAGCCAGCAGTGAGAAGTTCCAGGGTACATCCAAACCCGTACGCCGTACGCCGCAGCAAATGATTTTGGGAAGCACTGCAGCTGCAAAAGGAGGCAACTTACACCTTGGGAAAGAGAGACATGCTGATGTGTGAGACAAGCTGGGAAGGGGAAGGGGCGGTATTCCAACATGTTTACGCACAAAGTCGGAAACTGTGAGACCATTAGGCATTTTTCAATCGAAAACCGCGCAACGCGCCCGTCGCTTCCCAGGACTTTGCGCTTTGCTGAGACGTCGTTCTGTTGTGGGTGTCCAGAAGGATCCCATCGCTGTGTGCACGCGGTACCCGTTGGAAACTCGTTCGAAGTTGCCCGTGTCGGTCGAAAAGCAGACGCGACATCGATCGGCCGATGGGGTCGCTCAGACCGGTATCGGTCGGGCGATGGGTCGCGGCGCGCAGCGTCGCTGTCCAGACGGAGCCACACGTCAACTGGCGCGGCGCGGCGGTCGTTCCGCGTCACGTTCCACTGGCGACCGTCGCGGACGCGTTCGACGCAGAGGTTCCGGTGAGCGGTGAAAAAGGCGTTCTGAGGATCCGAAGACCCATCGATGGTCCGAGAGTCATCGATGTTGAGGTGCGTGACCGATGTCCTTTGAGCCAATCATTCTCTTCTCTTGGGATGAACCCAAGGGGTCAATCAGATCGACAGCAGTGTGTGGAGTTGGGAGGAAAAGCAACTGCTGGTCGTGACAGCCATTTGTCACAACCAATTGGGTTGCTTTTTCAAGAATCGAAGACTCCCATCAACCCCGGGAGGAGCCACAACAGTAAAAGACCAAGACATTGTCGATGGGCCATCGAAACGTGCCCGCGGCATCGTTCGACCGCGTCAAGTCGTGCGCAGCATCGTTCGACCGCGTCGCATCGCTGATGGGAACGAAGCGTCGCGAGCGAACGCCCGTCGCGTCGATGTGTTGAACTCAGCGTCGGCGGTCGCGTCGCCAAAGCCAACGCTGAGAACGAGATCAAACAGGGAAGTCCCCAGAGAACGCTGCGATCCGACGGATGCAAAGCTCAAACATCGTGCCATACTGCTAGCGTTTGGATCGATCCACCTTATTCCACTCAACACGGTTGGATCGATCCATCCACGATTCCTTTTGTTTCCCTGCACTTTGGCACACGCGCGTCGCACTCTTTCACCTCTGCTTATGAGCGGTGAATCCGGCTAGGAGACAGCATGGCTCAATGCCGGACACCCCGTTGGCAGCTCAAATTCAAACCTATCATCTATGACCATGGCAAAGATATATACTGGAATGAATGACGACCTAAACAACATCCACCTTGTTTCTTCGGTCTGTCTCTGCTGTCAATGGAGAAAATCGGCACCTGCTGTGAGCATTGACATTCCGCTTTGGGAGTCCCAGCATCGCATCTCAGTCCTGCGTGGAGCAGCGAACGAAAACACAAGGACTTGGCCCTCCGACTGCGGCGGAGTCCCACTGGTTCTGCATGCACGGACAGGTGTGGAGCTTGGAACACCTAGACACTCCGGCATTGACATACAGACAGGGGTGGTTGACCTGGGGTCAATGTAGGTGAATATGCCATGCATGGAGTGTCTGGAACAGTGCATGCAATAACTGTGCAACAAAATGCAAACGACCAAATTGGTTGCCCCATGTTGCCCCCACCTTGGCTGCTTGGCTGTTGCACGGGAGTGTCCTAGAATCCTGTTAGAAGAGTACACTTGGCCACTGCGAATCGAGAATGGTCGTCAATGGTCATTGCATGTAGTGTGTAGATTGAGGTCTCCGTATTTGTTGAACTCCTATAAAACAATTTAACTATATGTTTTAGAGATATCTCACAAAGACCCCTGGAAGAAGCACATAAACAGACAAGAACCAAGTGGTCGGGGCTCCCCTACACCTCCCTAAAACATCCTAAAACTACCCCTATACACTATAATTTTTGATTGTCTCTTCCTGTCGCATTCACCATGGTCTCTCTCCACACGTTACACGTTTGTCCGAACAAAATACTGTCCTGTTGCATTCGCCCATTCCTATAAATCAGTTTTAAGTCCCATGAGGAACATCTCAATGAGGGACCAGCATCATTTTATGGTGAACAATTCCCTGCACCCCCCATGAGAGGCCAAGGTGGGCTCACAAAGCTCAGTCCTGTGGGTTTCCAAAGTCATCCAGGCCTTTAAAGGGGCCCTTGGCCAACAGCAGCAAGGTCTCTCGCAGGCCTCAGATCTCTGGTCGGCAGACCCAGTTCGCATGGTCAGGATGCGTGGGAAAAATGTAGAACACCGTGATTGCCCCAGGTATGCTGAGAACATTTATCAGGTGAATGATGTAGACGCTGTTCAGGGTGTCTTCTGGTGGCAAATAGTCTGTTTATCTAGGAAGGCCAGCACGTAGATGTGTCAAAGTCACTATGCTTCTTTGCAACAGCCACATGTCCTTGCAAACTGAGATGAAATGATCTCTTTGTCACGGACGATAGCTGCTCTCAGGCTTCCAGGCGAACGCTATCATCATAGTCCGCAAACTGGCCACCTCGTCTCGTCAAGCGACTTACACATGAGCCGAGTGAGCGACTGTGAGCGACTGACGACGGGGCCACGTAGAACACCAGGACCAGCAGCATGTACCGATACCTTTACGATAGAACACGTTGCTCACTACTTGAGCTAGCCCGTAAAGAGCCCGCGTTTTGGCGAGGCAAAATGGCACATGGTTCAGGCCAAAAATATCCAAATGGATGTTGCTTAGTTCAAAGGAGCATGGTTCCAAGACCGAAGAGTTCAGCAGGCTCATTCATGTTCAAGGAGCTTCACTACATCTTCAAACATAGCGAATTAATTCACTACAAGCTTATAGAAGTGTTCACCTCACCTGCTATCTCGGGACAATCCCCCTCCACACTCCACTTCTTTGTGCACCGAGTAGGTACTCCGCCAACGAACGGAACCCACTCCGTCTCCAAGTTCCAGGCCATGTAGGTACTCTTTGCCAGGCAGGTGCGGATACACCGGCGGAATGACCTCGGCGCTTGAGGTGCGGAAAAACACCATGGGGGGCGGTGGTGTGTGACTGTCCAAACCAAAACACCCAGGTGCCGCGAAAACCAAGGGAAGTGGGAGAATCCCATGTTTGACAAATTGTTCTGGCGTGTCTTCAGATTTTGCAGTTCCACTCTTGGTAATTGCCAGCAACATACAGTGGCAATTAGTGCTGAGACATATGATGCTTGGAAAAAGAATAGTGAACATCGGTGAACTACCAAGCACAGTATTCTTGGGTGCATCTCATTTTCACTTTCAATCACCTATCTGTGCTTTGAAGATTCTGCACCACTCGATCTTTCCAATCTGAAAAGCCACTGGATCTGCCTCTTGTTTCAAGGATTCTCCAAAAAATCAGCACAAACGTCACGCAACGACGTGTTTTGTGTAAAACGAGGCCCGGGCAATCGACGGAAAATGCAGAGTTCGAAGGACATGAGCATGATTGGTGTTGAAGTAGTTGCAGGGCAGTATGCTGGCCACCTGCGCACACAGAACGGCAATGAGGAAATGATCTTTTTCACATAATAACGGCAAGACAGCGAACACAGGTGTAGATTCATGTGGCTAGCAGCCAGAACAAAGAGGGAAACTACTGCTCACATGAATATCATACGATTTTAGCTGAAGACCTTTCGGAGAACCCCTCATTGGTCTCTTTGGTGGTCGATCTATATATAATATAAGATTATTTAAGCATGTTGGACAGATTGCGCCACTGAACCTCGTGTTCTGCGGCGCAGAACGTGCTGACAAAAAACCGTTTCTGCATGTTTCTGCTAGAGCTGACCAACACCGCATGGCCCCGTTCTGCGTCTCCAAGAGAGTCAGGTGAATCGTTTCGAGCGAAGGCCACCAGAGTGGATTTACCAATAGGTTCAATTTACGGTGGAATCCGTCGAGTTTTCTTCGACAAGCCTTCATCCAGTCTGACTCATATCAACTCAGTATAGGCACAGCAGCCTAGTAGCGTCCTAGTAGCGTCCTTGTTCCTAGTACTGTAGCAAGGCCAAAAGCCCCTAGTAGCGTCCTTGCTCCTAGTAGCGATGCCCTTTGCTCTGTTCATAGCGTCCTAATGACTCAGTAGGAAATCCCAGAAAAGCACAGCAGCTTCGCTCCAAATCTCCATCGAAAGCTCCTCATCTGTCCAGTTCTGTTTTCAGCTGCCTGCCTCAACGTATGGTACATCGGTCAGTTCGCGGCGCGGTTGGTTGCAGGCTTGACCTCGGTGGTCTTTCCGCCGCGGTTGAGCACCTGGACCTATCCGGTTGGTTCAGGAAATCCTTTGGTACTACTGGGTAGTACTGGGTAGTACTGCATGGTACGCCTGGCATGCAACAAATGGATATCATGGGTACAAGATGGGGCAACTACTTCAAAAATGGTCCTAATTTGGTCCTAGATGGTCCTGAGGTACTTTGAGACTCTGAGACACTAGGCTCCTCAGTCCCCAGTTCCATTCAGTTTCCATTGTCCTCCAATCTCCAGGAAAAGCAATGAATCCACAACCAATGTATATTATAGTGGTTCATGTGTAAGCAAATCATCCATTTCATCACCTTACTCCTACTTGTCACTTCACAAAAATGCGGAACTATAAATCCACGAACTATACATTAACAACTATAGTGCCACAAGGCCATGCAATGCTTCAAAAGAAAGCCAACTCAGCAATAGCCGTCTTCGCCCCTACAAATGAGCAATTCTGCAAACCAAAGATTTGTTGAGCTTTTATCCTCATGTGAAAGGGCTTTTCCTTGGTTACTTGTGCCATGCCGCCTGATGTGGGAACATATACAATATGTGATAGCTTGGATGGTCATCGACCAAATATCTTCATTGTATTTTTCTCGGAAGGAATGGTCATAACATGTCATAAACGTCAGTCATTCGGTCTTGCCAAGAAAGCCTGCAAAGCATGGTTCAGCACAATGCAAGCAAAACTAGGTAGTGCGCAATCTTCACCGAGTAGTCCACAGAGTAGTTTCACATAGGCTGTACACTACTGACAAGGTAGTGCGCGCGACTTGACATTTGTATGTAATGATGCTTCAACCCACTCTATATCATGGCCTAAACACAAGACATGTCGAAGCGGAAGACCTATCCTTCTTCCTCTGCTGGCAAGCTGCAAATCCGAACCATCACAAGATAAAGAACAACCACTCCAACCTCGGTCAGAACATCTGTCATAGGCATAGGAACATAGTGAGGCAAAGCTAAAACCGACAGATCTGGTGGAGAAGTTCGTGCGCCTCTAGGAGCGACCGATGGCAGCGTCACGCAAAGCTTCGTCGAGCGGTTCTTCCTTCACTTCTGCTCGAACCATCCAACAATTATCCAAGTGAAGATCGAACGCATCAACACGTACAGTAATCACGAAACCACACCTGGAATCCCAGAAACTTCCCGTTTCTAAGAAGTTCAGATGTCTTCCGTCCTGTTGGGAACACATCATCGAACGAAGAAGCACAATTCCAAGAGCATTCAGCCTGGGTGGAGCCTTCTTCAAGTTCCAAAGTGCTGAGAGAGGCGCAGTAGCAGTAAAAAAAACAAAAAAACTGACATTGGCTTCGGTATGCTGATGTTGTTGTATGATGTTGCCTTGCATGAGGCCGATGTTGCCTTGCTGTCTTCCTTTGGGGGATGTGACAATCAATGGCTGCCCTTCGCCGTCTGCCGCTCAAATAGCGCCTCGGCGACCGCGCCACGACACAGTACTTGATCCAAGCTTGATGGAAATAGCTGTCCAGCTGCCGTACCGGAAGCAAGACCAGCAAGCACCTCATGCAGGTGTCACCATGGGATACCCATGGATCTTTGCGAAAGACGAAGTGAATCAAATCCCAAGCACATCAGAACTCAAAGTCGAACGGAGATAGCTTGAGCTTGGCACATGGGTATCGCCCAAAGGTAATGTACCTTGGTGGTGGCAAACATGATAGAGATCGTTGCAGGTAGCAATCGTATTGTGTAATAATGCAGTAATCGTCATCAGCAAGAATACTAGTACCAATGCTGGCAAGCCTTTCTCATGCATGTCTTCATGTGATGAATATATTATAGGTAGGGTGACCATCCTGTTCTTGAACATCACCATGGCTGCCCTTCCAAGCCTACACTTGGGCTTCGCCGGGGTGCAGTGAGATCCAGCAAAGAGCTGGTGTAGTAAGTCTGGCGATTGACCCGCCTGCCGAGGCCCCGGGATCGCCGATGGGTCCGGATTCTGAACATACGCCCATATTGGATGGATGGGTTCCATGCGACGGATTCTCTGATCATTTGTGTGCGACGATGTAGGCCGAAACGGCAGAATGTCGTGCAGGCCAGGGCTGGTGGAAACAGGAGAAAACGACAGAATTTCTTGGAGAAACGGCCCAGGGGGGCCACATCGCAGTGCTTGGAGATGCTTTCATGAAGGCAATGATTGAGCGTGATTCTTCCTGTATTGACCCTGTACAGTACTTGTGCTAGCTGCTAGGAGTTGCTACGCAGGGCTGTGTACTTCATGGAGCAAGACCTACACCCCAGCTTCATCCAGCTAAACCTCTTCATCCAGCTTCTCCCGCGGTGGGTGGAGGAGCTTGGATGAGCATGAGCTTCGAATGTCCAGACATGCCAAGAGCCACAAGAAGAAGTACTTGTCGATCAAGTACATGTAGATGCCATAGAGGAACATCAGGATCTCACCCCCTCCGAACGGCTTTCGTCTTACAGGGCAGGCCGCTTCAGGTGCCTTTCATCACGTAGATGCATAGAACGTTCACACGTAGATGCCATAGAAATGCTATCCAATGAGTCATTTGATGTCATTTGTGTATAAAGAAAGAAGGGCTTGTTTTGGTGAAGCAAGATTCTTCTCCACTAGACCTTTGGAGACCCTGGGTCAACCTGGTGCCAGTCCTGGGGTCCTGGGAACATATGAGACTTTTCTCCACAAACACGTGAGACGCTTCAAGGTCGTAACTGAGGAGGTCTGTCGGGTCCGTCGCCTGCTTTCTCAATCTTTCTCAACTCACATACTTGAAGTCCGATGAGGTAGAGTAACGGATCACTTAAAATATTCCAACATATTCCAACTATGCAGGGCAAATTTTCACACCGATGCATGTGATTCCAAATGATTCCAACAACGATAGATGTAGCTTTCCACCACAAGAGCTTCATGACAGCAGTGCAATACCGCACAACACCCGCAATGGGATCGGCACCCTCTTGCAAAGAAATGGTTCGCTGCAATCGATCAAGGAATCAAGATGCGATCCAAATTCGCCACATGGCGTCATAACTAACTTAACATGAATTCAAAAGCATGCCGAAAACGTTCTCGACTGCTTTCTTTACCACTTGCAAGAGGTGGCACAAAATTTTCTTCACAAAATGCTTCGTGATGTGCATGTGTCACCAAAGAACGCTAAAAAACAGATGACAAAGTCGTTCTCAAGCCAACATCAAGAGCCCTTGCTGCATTTCCCAAGGTGCCAATTGATGACAGCAATCTTCCGACACATCGTGGGCCCCCGAGCCGATGGTGAAGATGGACTGATGGTCGACGACCAGCATCACGAAAACCATGGTCACGGTCAACAACGTGTCCACGTACCTGTCAAGACACAGGTTGTCACATCCTGCTCCCCAGATTTCTTTTTAAGGGGAAGTCGACAGGAAACTAATGGTTTTGGGGAAGAAAGCATGGTTTTTTTGTAGATGTTCTCTTACATTCCCTTGAACATCAAATCCTGCTTTCAAAGAACTCCACAGCATCCGACAGGACCTTTGGGACTTCCCGGTGATTTTCGCCTCCACGCTCGGAACCGAACAGAGGTTGCAAACGAGTGACATTTGCGTGCAAAGAATGTATCGTTTTGGTTGCAACATAACGCATTGTCGCCTACATTATAATTATAGACAATGGTTATCTAAGTTTTCGCCGTTATTGCTATGTTGGAACAATGCTTGACGACAAATGACGGGCGAAGTCACTGTTGCTTCCACCAAACTTGTGCCGGCAGCCTGCTTACAGAGTACATGAGTAGACCCGGCCAGCCAACTGTGTCAAAAGAAAACGAGAGGAAGAACGATTGCCCATAGAAGGATCAACGACTTCATGAACCTTCTCCGACTCCTTCGCGCGTGCAAAAATCAGCCTCGAATACCAACAGCTTGCAGGATTCCTTGACCACAGTGACTGTGGAGTGGAGCATCTGGCTACCCCCGCTTGTTCAGCCCCGCAGCGCATGGTAACACCTTTGGGGTCAACATTTGAGCTCACCCCAATGGTACTTTTGAGCTTTGACCCGCATCTTATTTCGTTTTTATTCCTGCTATGTACATCATCTAACCTTATACAACCTGAAACTACATGGTCTCTGACTCTGTTACATACCCTGTGAGACAGGAATGAGAGGTTTTCTACTACCCCAAGATGCATCCCGCGGGTCCCGGGGGTGCTCAAAGCCCCGTGGACGGGCCCGGACTCTCCCCTCCATCCACCTCGCACGGTCCCCTCGCCTTTGCGCTACAGGGAATTCAGCACTGGTCAGGGCCTCGGCCAACTGAACAGGGCTCTGGTGACCCGAACGTGGCAGCTCGAAGCAGCTCGCACGGTGTTTTCATAGATATCCATATGACATCCATAGAAAACGTGTTTGCTATGGATATCTATGATATCTCATGGTGCTTTCTGTCCTGATGATCCATAGATATCCACACTTGGAGACATAACACTCTAAAATAACCACTGATGTAGCCAGCCACCAAATGTCTCAGATCGGTATCTCCCACGAGCTTCATCTAAATGTTCCTTAGTCTATAGCTACCTTTTCTGGGTTTCTTTCGACGTCTCCCTATTTGGAGGTTGATCCTAAGTGAAAAATCATCACAGTCACCGGAGAAAAACCACATTACAAGAGATGTTTTTCGCCCCCGCTGCAGACTCCCGACAGGAGCCCGTGGAGAAGCCTCGTTGAACCCGTCGCAGACTCGCCTGAAGAACTGGGAATCCGACCGGTTGGCCTTCTCTGACGGTAATGTACCTGAAGCTCGACTGATTTATATAGTCTTATCCCGAGCTCGACGATTGTATTATATAACATATATATATATATGATTTGATGTGATATGATATGACATGATATGATATTATGATATGATATTATGATATGCTATGCATTGCTATGCTAGCATGTTTTTAAATATACGCTATCATTTGATATGTCTCCCTTACAGTTGTCATATGAAATTAAAAGAATGTGGAACTTGACGTTCAGAGGCATCTCTCAAGTGAAGAGCCTGATGTGAACATGCAACATCTGCACAGCAACGATAAAACAAAACATAACAAAACCATTGACTGATATTATATACCCAACTCTTATCATGGAATCGCCACACAATGCATGTCACCAATGTGCTTTTTTCTTGTGTCATGCAAGAAATGATCATGATATGTTAAGATATGATTAGTCACATGCACTCCATGGTTCACTTCTCAGTCCACACAAAAAAAAAGCGCACCCGCTCTCCGATCCCGACGTCGGCGCACTTGCTCTGGCGAACAAAGAAGTAGCCGCTCCAGTATGTCCAGGCTGGGTAGAGCACGTACAAGATCTAGCAGGTCCGGACATAGCAGGACTATATAGGTCTGGTGCACCATACCTAGATATCCATAGGCCGGTATTGATCAGGCGCGACATCGGTCTGGTGCACCCCATGTAGAGGTCTGGCAAACAACAACATGTTGCACCGTTCAACTCTCGAACTCTAATCACATCACGTCAAACTCTCGAGGCTGAACACCCTTGAAAACACCACCGACTTCACCACTATAATCACTATATAATTCAGAGGTACACAATATATCAAAATATCTTAACTTCCAATCCAGGGAAAATGAATTGCCCAGCACTCTCTCTTTTTCAGCTGCCCATTAGCGGCCGCGCCACGCTCCATCTCTGTGTGACTTTCAGACCCCACCCCACCCATGAGTCACCCATCCCATCTGTTAGCAAAGATGGCGACTCATAGGGCCTTAGGGGTCCTTAGCAAACCCAGGGTCCCAGGGGTCCTGGCGACTCACATGCGCACAGCCCAAAAACACAAAAAGGCCTCGGTGATGAGAATACTCACGGTCAACTGGTAGAAAATCCACTCCTCAGATCAACATTGAGGGCATTGCTTGGATCTGCTTTTTCTAGCATTTCCTAGCTACGGATCATGGCCATGGCGCCTCGAGCTGTGCTTGGCTCAAGGAAAGGACTGAAAGTCCAAAAAAGGCTGAACAAACACCTGCACAGCGAATTGATGCACCTTTGATTGACCCTTTCCAAAGAATGAATTGACAATCCATACCTGACAGGAGACAACTGGTCCCAGAATGATTCAGGGGCATCCAAACTAACTAACGATTCTTCACACACCAGGACTGGCAGCACCAGCCCTCCAGCTTTGCTCAACTGTCTGAGTCGGCTGGGCGTCTGTGGCCAGCTGTGGGGTCACCTGAAGGTCTTCGTTCATGGCCTCGGTACGCGGCGAGTGGAAGGGCCAGAGCTCCAAAAGCGGGCCAAAGGGGCCAGTCAGGGCTCGCTCCACAGCCCAGGTGTGCGAAGATGGCAGTGTGGCCGTGAGTTGGGAGAGCCGAGAGCGCCTGCGCTCCACAGTACGGGGCACGGGTGTGGAATTGGGAGACATCCAGTTAGACTCCCTTGGTACAAGAATACATGTCATATCAAGGAAAGCTCATTGGGATCATTGGGCCTCAGGTTCGAACGAAGAGAATTTTAAAAGTTTGTGTGTCACCTTTTCCACACAGATCACCTGACGCATCTCTAGAGGTGTGTCTCTGCATGGCATGAAGACCCCCCCAACAAAACCATGCACACAGAATGAATATCACTGAAGTGTCAGAAGTGTAAATATCTGATAATCTATGAACCCAAACACTCCATGTGTGCTACATATGCTTACATTGGGGTGGTTTGGGGGGGTCAATGTAGGCACATATGGCAGTCCCATGGAGTGTCTGGGTCATAGCCAATACGAACCCATCTGAACCTGAACCCTGGCGCGCGGTGGGTTATCCCAGGCCCTCACCACCAGCTGCGCCACCAGCAACGGAGCCACCTGGGATCGAGGTCGATCGGTCGACACCTTCCACGCCTTCAGCGCCGCCTAAGGCGGGACCACCGGGGTGAAAACCACCGGGTGGTTCAAACACCTGCGCCGGTTTTGGAAGAGCCGAACTCCGCGGTGGAACACCACAGAGTCACCAGAGTCACTGTTTTTTTTTAGACCCACGGGTCAGACACGACAACGACAACTCAGCATCCGATTCTCCCCTATGTGCCCCAAGGTCCCGAGCCGAATTCGCCACCACCTGGCACGGTCCGGTGATGCAATAGACAGGACAGGATCTTTTGTACCAGGACACCCCGTGTTGGTTTTATAGCTATGTGACATGTGCTGAAATGGTATCGAATCCACGAAATCCCACGTCAGTGAGAAGCAACTTCGACCAAAGCTCGAAACAAATTGCATATAATTTATGTACTATAATATCTGAGTGGATCGAGATACCACTGCAATTGGCACCCCCAAGACTGTTACAGTCTGGATGTTTTTCGGGGTGAACATGAGGCTTGCCTGTCAGATCCATTCACTGAAGCTGGTTGACTCGGCGACCCTTGCGCTGTCCAGCAAACGCGAACAGAGGGCGACCCCAAAGCATCCCGGTGTCTGGACGCACCATCAAGTAGCTGCAAAGCACAAAGACGCTGTCCTCATTGGCCTCCGCCAGTTTCCAACAAGGGCCCAACATGCAGGAATCCCGTGAAAATCCACCAACAGGTAGCCCGTGATGGATTTAAGCTCAGTATGGTGGGGAAAACCACATAATATAAGTGGATTGAAGTGCTTGGATGTATGAGTGGATGGCTTGGAGAATAAGTGGATTGTTCAGTGGTACATCACCTAAAAAAAAACACAGCTTAAACATAGGGGACACATGGTGGGAAAAACATATATATATATATATTAATGGATAGAATTCCGTGATTTCGCTTCAAATCTACGATCTGCTCAGCTCGATGGTCCTGCCTTTTGCACAAAGCCACTCGCTTCGGCGGCGGAGCGCATGCTCACTGCCTGAATCCGGCAGTAGCTGACAGCAGCACTGGCAATAACATATGTATTGCATTTGTTGCAAAATGGTCCATAACACAATGATAGGTCTGTGTTTCATTCTGTCTCATGGACCATTTTTTGGTACACCACCTCAACTTGAGAGTTTTTAATGATGTCATCTAGTCTGAAAACACAAGATCTTTGCTGGCTCTTGCCTGTGACCATCCGAAATTCACATCACCTCTTCAAAGCTTGCTCCCATCTTCGAACCCAATCGAAGCCGGTTCCCGTCGTCCCCCACCAGCACTCGATTTCCCAGCGCCGTGAGCGATGCCATGGACAGCTGCTCCAACCATTTCAGACGAATCTGAGCCTCGGTCGACTGCTTCAGCTCCGGGAGGCCGTGGAAGACGGCGTCACATGGGGAAGGTTGAGGATCACAACTTCTGAGTAGTTGGAGCCCGAGTTTGGGTATATTCACATATATATATATATAATATATAATTAGGTGTGTATTTATATATATAATTATATATATATTATGTTTAGACACTCTATGTAACAAACATGGAAGTGAAGTTCACCCCCTGTTTGTGGAACATGGCCTGTTGAGGTGCTATTTTCCACCTTCATGATTGCTACCCCTTTTCAAGACGAGAACAACGAGAATCTGCACCCAGCTGAACATGTACTGATGACTCGCAGGTTCACCCTCGCAATCCCTAGCACCTTCAGGGTGTCGTCTTGACACTAGCTTCTACCAGCACCGGCCTTCCAGTTCAATGTTGAGGCGCTAGTCTGGACGTCTGGACTGACTAATATAATGGGCCAGCAATCCATGGACTTCGCGATCTGCCAAACGCAAAACTGCAGGGACTTCTGACATCGCAAAAAGGTTCGGCCTGAAGTTCCCAGTGCCACCCGTGTCGCACTTCACCTCTTTTGGTTGGGAATTTAAATGCGGGCCACCCCCCCTTGCTTCAATGAATTGATGTTAGCTCCCAGCAAATTGACCTGGCAGTCCTTGAGTTCTCTGGTTGAAGCAAACGATCAAAGGAAGGAAGCAACGATCAAATCACAGCATCTGCATATTCTTCAGGAATCGAAGAACATCTTCACTACCTGGATCTACTTACCGAGGTCTAGCCATCACACTAAGTGTCTACTAGAACGTGTCTCCAAATTGACTTCAGTGATATTCGATCTATTTGGAGAGCTCCATAGTTGTCTGTCAAATCATTTCTTTCTCTTCAAGGGATGGCAACAGTGAGGCCTTGAACTCGCTTTGCCCTCGATTTTTTGCATCTGGGCAACTAAAGATGGAGCTTCGATGTCCGTGTAGCTCATGGCAGAGAGAACGGAGGGCGCGAACATGACCTCGATTTGTGGCGCACGTGTGTGTCTGTGCCATGGTCAAAACTCACTCTAGTCCAGGGAATGGTCATCCTTTTTTTACAGGCCCGACGCGTTTTTTCTTTTTTTACGTGGGGTTGTATAAAACATGTTGTAAAAAATGAATGACAATCCCTACATCAAAAAGACCCCCCAAGTGTTGACTGTGGTACATGTGTAGTAGGATAGTAATTAAGATTGCCGCAACAAGAACAACGGGACTAGAAGACCTCTACCCATGCCAATATTACATAATTATCCTAATCAGTTAGTCCACAGGTGTAGACCTGGTGCAGTGATGAGTGAATACACTGGGCAGTTTCTCCGAGTTGCCACTTGTCAAGAGGGATTAATGCAGTATATATGTCCTTTATATTATGTCTGCTATTCATGTTTGGAACTGCCATCCTTGCATTTACTATGGACAATCCAATGACACTTGGAAACAGGGGTGCTCTTTTCTATTTCTTAAGCACCAAACCAGATCAAGCACTGGACTCCATGTCAGATCCGTTCTCCTTTGAACCCACTACTTTCCATTCTCATTGTCCCCCCAATCAAAAGCAGCTTGGAAGAAAGGGCTCCTCTTTCATCCGAATGAACACCAGGTCCGTCCGGACGCACGCTGCTCGGCTCCCCGGTAGCAAGGTGCTGCCGCAAGGACCAAGACGAACAACAAGCCCGACAAGAGCGTCAGGACCTTAGGCCGCCGCGAAAAGGGTTCCGCGGCCGGGAGTGGTTGGTTTCCTCCAAGAGAGGACTTGATAGAAGGGGGGTGTGCAAGACACGGTCATGAAAGCACATGCAAATCGTTGAAGGAAGAAGCAACACCCCCAAAAAAACCGATCCATGCGTTCCCCGGGTTGCCCGAAATCCGCTTCTGGTCATCCAATCGATGTGTTGGTCGCCATCCCCTCACCCGGTGCTGGGTTTCCGAAGCCACTCGGGACATCTTCAGGCCCCCTTGAACCTGCCAGAACGGGTCCCACTGAGGTGCTGGGTCCCACTGAGGTGTTGGATCTTCGAGCGGGGGTTCCGGGGAACAGTGGGTGGTTTTTGGGTCTCTGCAGGGCGGCGGGTTTGGCTCCGGGCCGGAGAAGCCAGACTCTTCTCCACCGCTACATGTTGGAGCCAAACACATCCAAAAACATGTTCTTTTTTTCCATATGCTTCTAGTGTGCAATGGGTCACCCTCGAAGGGCTGGACTCGGACGTTTTCGACCAGTACCCTCCAGCCCAGGTATCGGAAGTGTGGGATGTTCCAAGGCAAAGCAGTTGCGCGCTTACGCAGTTGCGCTGAAAAAAAGAAGGCACCTGGAAGTTCTCCCAAATGATGTCACAGGGATCTGGCGCCTTGGAAAGCTCAGGGACTCCGGTTGGCCGTTTCTTCGATTTCGCTGGGTGCCCGAGGGCGCCCGGCTGCAAGTGATACGAAGATTTGCAATGGATGTGTTTGCACGGTGTGCCCAGTACAGTGTGAGACTCCTACTTTGGAAAACAAAGAAAACACAAAACTGGAACATGCCAGGATCATCCAACGGGTCACCACCAATGGACTACCCTCCACCACTTAGGGATCTCCATTGGACACCCATTAAATGGTTGAGTCGGGTACATGGCTCGAAGGTTGCTTTGTGCGCTTTGCGTTGATGGATTGACTCCATGTAGCTTCTGCAGGCCCACCTGAGACTGTTGCCCCTGATAGCTTGCCAGACCCTGCGAGTGGCATACCAACCCGAAGACTTCTAGACTAAACACGACTGTTCCTGGGCATGTAACCCAGCAATTTGGATTCCAGCATCTGCATGCATGGAGTGCTACGTAGAATTACACCACCACATGCATTGATCGTCATCCCTCCATTGCACTTGTCAGTCGCCGCTGCATGCACATCATCAGTAACCCATGGTGTCCCTTCACTAAGTCGTCCAAATCATGTTCAAATCCCAAAACTCAGACTTCACCAGTTCCCCCCCGAAGAGACACCACAAAACACCCGAAGTGACCACCAGGCAGTGCCTTTCCACATGCCCAACCTCAAACAAAAAGGACGCGAACAAAAACCGGATTTGCGGAAGCTCCGACCAACAAACCGGAGGCCTCCGAGACGGTGATGGGGAACTTCCCACCTGACGGTGAGGCCGGCGGCCGGTTTCACCCGGTCCGGCGCAGTCGGAGCAGGTGTTTTTGCGGAGCACGGGTGCCTGAGTGCTGGTTGGTTGCAGGACAACTGCAGGACGGATACTCGGTACTTGTACAAAAGCTGATCATTTACCTGCAAGTGATGTCCCAAATATTCTTTGTTGTACTTCATTTTGCAGGTGCTGTCTCATAGACTGTATGTTGCACTTGCATGTGTTCTTTTTAAATGTATTTTAGCTTTGCTCATTTTCGTCTTGCATTTGTTCAAGAAGCCATGTCACTATCTCCCAATTAGACCAACCTCTGGTGGACAAGCTGGCTACATCTGACATCTCTCGCTCGGCGCAAAAACTAATAACAAAACCGATGCGACCCGGGTCGTCTGCTGCTTTTCACCCATGGATGAACGTCGGACCTTCGAACGCCTCACGACCGTCCGTCGGGCTGGGGGGCTCCCGGCGGAACAGCATGGCCGAGCTCAAGCTGCTTTTGGAGCGGCCTGGTCCATGGAACAGGGACCCCTTGTCTAGTTAGAGGACAGCATCTGCCAAGGTTGGTGTAATGCTACCAATAATGGAAGGTTTCGCGATTCTCAGCACTGTGTTCGCAACGACCTATAGGGAGTCTTGGAAGTTGACAGATACCTCTGGGGCGGTTTTCCTGTCCTGTCCTCAACAGTGTTGATGGGAGGCCCCAGATTGGGTCATCAAGGGATGCTCTGCCATCAGAGAGAATCTCGGCCACAGATCCATCCAACCTCTCCCAGAAACCTCACCAAGCAGTTGTTTTGACTCACCTCTTTTCTGTACTCCATCCAACAGCAAGCCTTGATGTGGGCAAAATAGAAAAGTGATCGATGCAAACATCCTTGTTGTGGTGATCCGCAATGCCTTTTGCAGGATTTTACAGGTACATCCAGATGATCCTGGGTAGTTTAAACTTCCATGCTCATCTCCTTCATCTGAGGGTGTCAAGCAAAGAAGAAACTCTGGCCATCCACCTCTCATGACGCAGCCTATCACATGCTGCACATCCACCCAACACCCCAACAGCGTCGCCTTTGGCTCCTTTGCTGCCTCTGGACGGCCTCTCAAGAAGCAAAAAAACATCCCCTACATTCCTACATGATTCCAAAATGGGGATGAACTTGTGAAGACATGTGAAGACTCTTTGTCCAACATGTGCCTTCTTAGTCTTAGCCTTCCTCACTCGCGCTAGTCCAAAAGTCTACCCTCCAGAGTTCTTGGGCAATACAGTGATTTCCTCCCACCCTTGCAGGATGATGCCCACCATCTTGTTCATCCAACCAAATGACCCAAGCGCCCATGGGTTTGGATGCTTTGGGCTAGTCCAGTTCATCTCTGTGCGGAGCCAAAAACGAAGTCTTTCATCCGGAAAGAAACCGTCTCACACTCCAGCGGCCCTTCCTACGTCTCACCACCTACGTCGCTGGCGACGTGGACGAACAGCTCTTAGCGCGACCGGATGCGCCAGCAGCGACCGGATCGGCTCTGTGGAGTTCGTCGCCCCGCCCACGCCGCAGCCCTCGCCCGTCTCGTCTCCGCGGTGGCCGGGTCGCCTGGATTTCCCCAGCAAGGCTTGGGACCTCCGCGCGCAAGGCGACATATAGGCGACGGCTAGGATGCGAGCGACATGCGACGGGTGGCTGGGTGGAACTGCTTGGAGAAGGTGGTGGGCAATCCAGGTCTGGTTCCCATGGTAAACAGTTCTCAGGTCAATTGATGGGAGACATGCTCATGCCGCAGGAGCTTCACGCAGCTCTGGGTCTTGACATGGAGGGTCAAGACAACATAGTCCTATCTTGCGACTTACATAACAGCTATGCCGCGTAAGGCGCAGCCGGAGAGGGATTTTCAGCACCGGCTCTGGTCCTCCGAACCTGAGAAAACCCATGCTCAGGTCGCCGCTCTTCATCCGTGTCGGCCTGGGCCATCAACGTGAAAAGGTGAATGGCTATGGACCTGAGGCACCTTGGGGAAGAAGTTCTCGAGGAACACAAGCTCAAAAGGAGACGTTCAAGATTCAAGATTGACATTCCACAGCTGTTGGAGATAGATAGGTTTCACTGTTATTGCCAATAAATAGGTTCCAAACACAAACACATTGAGACGTCTTTCTCTGAATCCAGTCGAAGACTGGTTCACTTTCCAAACATCACCATGCCTGTGGGTCCAAAATGGCCCAAATAAAAAAACTGAACAGAATCCTCCAAAACTGTAAGAGAGGGATGTAGGATGATCTGTAGCTTCTGCCCCATCACCGGTGTGCGTGGGCCTCTTCGGTCACATCGCTCTGCACCTGCCGCCGGATCTCGGCCTTGGTCGAACAACGAAGGGAACAGGGCCCCAAGGCTCCAGAACTCCTGAAGGATACCTGCAGTTGTTTTCAGATGCCTCCGCCTTTTTTGGTGGAAAAACATGTTTTCACACTCCAATCTGAAGCATTTAGGCATTGAGGGGAAACCTTATAAGTATCTGTAGATCTCAGGGAGAACACCAACAACCCTGCGACGAACCCGGAATCCTCCTGTGGACACGGCATACATGCTTTTCTGGTAGTGGAGGACAAAAGCACTCAACATGTCGGTTGTTGTTCCTTTTGTTTTCCCTGAGATGAATCAGAGGTCTGCAGTTCAAATGCTCCAGACTTGTATTTCACTCTTGGTTCCATCAAATCTGCTTGTTTATCCCAAAAGACAGTTCAGACGCTCAACGCCCTTTCCACCTATGTGGGTCGCACCCAGAAACTTGGCCAAAGCACGTCGTGGCACCCGAAGCCACATTCAACTCCCAACTCACGCGTTTGTTATGTCCATATGTGTTTTTTTTCGATCATTCAACCGCAACGCCTTCACTGGCTTCACCTGTGCTTCAACACATCTCTTGGAACGTTTCACCACCTGCAGGATCAATCCTGCTTGGCCCACCGGCAGCCCCCATGGCCCCCGGGCAAAGCGCCGCAAGCAGAACTCTCGATCCTCCTCGCGGGAGAAGACCACGACCTGAGTGGAGCGAAGAACTTGGTCTCCGGGTCGTGGTTTAGATAACAACTCGCCTCTAAACTCCCAGTTTTTTGGGGGGATATGCTTCAGTGACTTTAGTCTACCTAGTCTAGAGGGGTCTGGCTGGGGTACGGAAATCACTATGGAACAGAATGGAGAATTTGAAGAAACAAACAATTAAGCTATACGGCTGTATTCACAATAATATACCCAGCAAGTCCAAAGGATGGGTTTAACTGGTGCTTTAGCGTAAAGGACGCATTTCACCTCCCAACTTCCAAGACCTAATTTTCACAGGTGTTTCACGACCTTTCACCCCGTTTTCACTGGCTTTTGACAGGTTGTTCACGTCCTTTTCATGTTTGTTGTTTGTTCTTTTTCATGGCCTTTTCAAGCTTCCAGCTCCCGTTTTGCTAAAGCACCGGTTAAACTGGTGCGTTACTAAAGAACTGGTTCAACTGGTGCATTGGCCCACTGGGATATATATATATGTATTGTTGCAAACTATAAAGCTATTGTAAACATCAAACCTCCCTTACTTGAGGATGACCATCTGGTATCGGAAACTGGATTCCCAAAGAAGAACTGGGTAGAGTAGAGTGGATCTTGAGCTAGCCTTGAGGGGTCGCGGGATGGGAGATGAGATAGACTTAGACGAGGCTCTTGCTGAAGCTCCTGAGTCGGTTTGGCCCCAACTGAGTTGACCTGGAACCTCAGAAGACCAGGATTTCTGGTCCAGTTATTCACCATCGCAACCATTTCAAGCAACTAGCACCATCCCACCTCGAGTCGAAGGGAGGGCGCTTTTTAGACACATGCATTGCTAGCTTATGTATGCTTTCTTCCTCACCCAATTCACCCCGCTCATGGTGCTCTCCCACCGCCGTCACCCAATTCATCACCAGGCACCGCCTCTCCACAACTCACCAAGCCGTCGAGAACCTGATCCCGATATCATATCGATGGGCGCGTATGAGATCGAAACGAGAAGAGATCGAAACCACTGCTTTTGGAACTCTGGTTTTTGAAACTCTGGTAACTGGAACTCTGGTTTTTGGAACTCTGGTAACTGAAACTCTGGTTTTGTAAACTCTGGTAACTGGAACTCTGGTTTTTGAAGCTCTGGTAACTGGAACTCTGGTTCTTGGAACTGGAACCAAATCGGTAGATGCGTCTTCCTTCTAGGCTGGTGTTCTGGCGAACAAATGGTCAGAACACACCTGGAAGGTGCTGGACAACTTGTTCGCACATGGGTTGGCTTGCGACGGAATTCCTCATTGGATCCTCTTACTAAGATGTGGTCAAATGCTAAAGGTCACAAGCTAGATGTTCTTTTCAGCGGAAGCTGGGCAGTTTCAGTGAAAGTAGAGTCCTTTCTTTGCCACCAAAAAAACACCGGGAGGCTGGAAAGGAGGTGTGCTCCAAAAGAGAGTTGCTCAAAAAAAGATTGTGTTGACCCATCTTCCGGATCGGACCTGCTTCTACGGAAGGATCCGACCGCAAGGGCCATGGCAGTTCCTTCAGGAGTTTGTTCATTTTTGTCTGAACATTATATGCATAAGACTGCCCCAAAGGTCCTGGGATTTTCGTTGAGTCCTGCGGATGTGCAGCCCAAAGTGAAGCTGATTTGGTCTCACATCGGAGAGCAAGTCGCAACAACAATGATCATCCAATGCCAGCATGCCAGTGGCTATCGTTGTGCGAAACACATGTGCGCCCAGAATGTTGTGTGCACATGTTGAAGGATGCTGCTATACCAAAGATCCACACAAATTTGCCTAGATCTGGGCCAACTTGGCCCTCCCTTCAACCCCAACTCCGAGCCATAACGACTCCAATGGTTCCCTCCTCCATTTCATGCTCCAACTCGCGTGGCGTTCTGGCCCGTTTGACTGGGCATCCCGAGCATAGCCATCTTGACTCTCCCCGAAGGACTCTCTTAAGTCGGAGAGCTCCGCGGGATACACACCCAAGTGGGCATCTGCCTTCACGTCTCAAGGGGATGGGTTCCATGCCGCGAGGGAGACAGGCGAGGAGGGTATGGCGGATGGCGACGGATGGGTAGCGTAGGGTATTGCGGCGGGAGCGGGATCTGGAAAGAACTCCTAAGAAAACACTGCAGGATGACAGGATGTATCCCGTGAATCAACACGGGATACACTCTCTGTGAAATAATGTATCTTCATCCCAAGTGATTAACGATATTATTCGATATTAATTGATGGTCTATTCATGTCATTCATGTCTATTCCCATCTCCCTGCGGCTCAGCTCATCCGCTCCCACCGGTGTCGTTTTGCCTCGCTGACCGCGCTGCTTCGCCCACCTGCTCGACGGCCTTGTGGGTTCGGTCCTCGATGAAGTCCAACTCTTCGCTGACATCATAGGCGATCGAGACCTTGGTCGTCGGACCGGTCCAACCAGCCTTTGAACGGTTTCAAGGACGCGCCTGTCGACAGAGGCGGTGTTTGGATCTCCTGGGGATGGTCGCACCGTGTTGAGGGTTTCTTCGCACCGTGGAGATGTTTGCACCACGTGACTGTGGAAAAGAACGACGTGAAAGAAGCTTCTGGTGTCCAGTCAGGTGCACGTCCATAAACCATGACTACTGGCTGATTCAGTGGTTCCTTTCGACTCGTCTAGAAACACAGGAGTCTAGCACTCACGCGAGTTCGGCTGATCATCCTCCTGTTTGCGGACGATGCTGTGGGTCCGATGGTCAGGGAGGTCCGATGAAGGACCCTCCTCTTAAGCTGCCAATCCAGAGACGGGGCTCACAGTTCTGCTGTGTCAACGGACCCGCGCCGGCATCTAGCCCGCATAAGTCGAACATATTGTAACACCGCTACCAATGCCGGCTCCGAAAAAATGCCTGTTCCACTGGCACGTTTTGTTGCAGCTCTGCGTCAAACGATTTGGTGATGTTCAGCAAAACACATCTCAGCCAAATTGATTCAAAAGGTCTTTGCTAACTTTACTTCCCAACATCAAGCCATACACAAAATGGAACTGTCCACCTTTCAGGACCCAATTCGGAAGTTCGGAACTTTAGGGCCTAGGCGGCCCTATATACGCACATGTCATTTCCCTTAGGCAAAGCATGGCCCCCAACTCTTCCGCCGGCGACCTCCTCCCGGTCCATCCGCACAACCCGCACCGGTCCGAGTCGCCCCTTCGATCTCAAAGCCTAAGATCGACTCGAAGAAGGCCTTCACCTGCCAAGTCCCGGCCGACCTCTTGGTGGAAGGCCTTCGACCTCTTGGAAGGGCTGTCCAAAGTTCCAAGCCTGCCTTTCTGTCCGAGGTTCTTTCCTGCAGTCTATCGTTCCTGTTGCTTCTTGAAAAGTAAACCGACCGAGCTGGTGACCGAGCCGGGACAGGTGGAACGTACGGTGGAACGTCGCAAACTGGACGCTGTCAGCAGCAGACCGTGCCACTCCAAACCATTCCAAACCGAGCACAATCCAATCCTCTGGTCAATGCACGGATTTTAAAATGATATATGATACTCCTGCCAATCCTTGCCAATCCTTGTGGTCATTCCCTCCGTACCGCACCCTACATCGAGACAAAAAAAAGAGATAGGTCTAGGATGGTGTTGTGGCTCCATATGTTCAGACCCAGGAACAGCAGGTTGTTGAGACGCCCTTTTTGTGCCACAGTCAGAGTGTTTGGTATGGAAAGCTCCAGTTTCGACCCTGGATGACCCTGGGAAGGCCAGGCCAGATCTAAGAAACGGACAATTAAGAACTTGGACAAATCAGATGGGCATCCAATGACTGCCTCGTGCGGAGTTCGCGCTGACCTTAGCCCTGTTGAGATGGCAACAACAGAATCACTGCTTGGATATTATATATATATATCTAACAACAATACATTGTATCAAAACATATTAGAATCGGACTCTCTGCTGGGTTCAATTCCAGGGCCAAATCCCTGCACCTTACACTTGATGGCCATAGCCCAGCATTTCCCGGGTTTTGTGTATCTCATTCCGAGCTGCAGAATGTTGATTCATTCGTTATCTCCAGACTCACAGGCACCAAGGGGCTCATCAGTGCTTTATTCTGAGGCGCCCCACTTGGGAAATCCTTCAGCAAACAAGGCATAATCAGCGAGATGCGGAACCTGCGTGCCAATGCGCATCATGTCGCGCTATGTTGGCGTGGTGTTTGGGAGGCCTCCATCACTTGGCTGAAGTACAGAAAAAAGGCAGAGATCCCTCCAATTGAGGATCTACCCCACATCAGCTCCAAGAAAAAACACACCCATGCAACTTCGGGTGCCACTTCGGACCTGTTGAAGGTCTGTATCATGGGATCGCCTATTTACAGAAACACATCATCTCCAAACGACTGATTTCATGGGATCAGCGACACAAAAGAGGCACCAGACAGGAACAAACAGGACCATCTGACGGTCCTACCAAGGGCCTACCACGGAGACCGAGATGATTTTGATAAGAGAACCCCCACCTATAGCGCCTATAGGTACCCCCCTTTCCAAGCTCTTGTTCGATCTTCTTCGCTCAAATGGAGGTTGCTCACAACCTCATGTTGCCCGTTGGTCACATTTGGTCACGCATGAGCTGGCGAGATTTGGATCTGTGGGGGAACTACTGGAAGGATGTGTTCTGATTTGTTGCCCACTCAACCATCACCTCTGCACTTTAGAGTTTCAGAGTAATTAGATGGTGCAAACAAAACACATGGGCCCGCTAAGATGGGGCTCTGACATGAGCCGGGAATTGGCACCATCTACTCTGAAAGCACATGTTCAATATACTCATTGACTCCCTTTTGATACCGAATCAGGGCGCCCTCTCCTCTCAATCACCTTCTGACGGGTCTGACCTCTTCGTACTCAGCTCGGGCGGCACGCCCTTGAGTAAAGAGCCACCGCACCGTGGCGACAAAGCAAAAGACCTCGGGTGTCACGCGTCACGACTTGACCCGAAATGAAAGCATCGTGCACACATCTCTTGCAACGTACACGGTGTATGGACGCAACATCTGGTTGACGCCAAACAAATCCTATCCATACTTGCGTGGCGTTGCCGAGCCATAGGTTCTATATATTTAAATATATACATGTTTCGACTTGCTTGTAGTTTGGACATGGTCGTGGTGCGAGTGATTTAGCTGGACATGTAGATCACATCATCAACCTGCAACGAAGCTTGGTATTTCGACCGCACCCTACGACCCACTACACCGGGCCCAGCACCCTACGACCCCTGTAGGGTGCTTGTGGCCCAGTTCGCTAGGCCTGGTCGTTCACTCACGACGCCGCAGGTCAGACGCCCTTCATACCCAGTACTGTCTCAAGGTGTGACGTGACAGCATGTGTTTGTTTGCAAGTCTAACATCTTCATCCGTAGTACTCTTTGTTTTCAACTTCTGTGCTACAAAAGCGGTACTGAAGACTGTAAATAAGCATGTAAACAAGATTAAACAAGTACTAGTAGTTTCACTCAAACCAAGTATGCTGAAAGGGGACACCCCAATCATTGCACCTGCAGACTCTCCGGCGAAAAAACACCTGCGAAGTGAAAACTCGGATCGCCAGGGCACATAGAGTGCCAAGGCATGCAAGTCTTGCGCCAGGCCTGGGTCGAAATCGCGGCCTTCAAGACGGCGGCCCTCCGGTTGGTCTTGGCGAAACTCAGGTCCAATCGAAACAGGATCAGGAGTCAGGAGTGCCTTTAGTCTTTGTATCACCACGAGCAGAGCAGGCCCGGAAGGTCCGGATGTATCGCCCCTTTCTTTTTAATCAGTAGTTGCTCCGTTCGAAGCGATGCCAGGCTTGGTGTTCCTAGTAGTAAGGCCAGGAGCTACTAAGTAGCGTCCTTGCTCCTAGTAGCGATGCCAGGAGGTGTGTCATGTCATGTGTCGATTGATTGAAACGATGATTGAAACGATCAGATCGGTGGATGGTGCAGCTGACTGCGTGCGGATGTTTCGTGCCACGATTCAGCGATTCATGCGGCAGCCTGAGTCTTGTTTGTGTTGAAAACAAGCTCTCACTGCTATCCTCATTGCTGTCGAATATCCTAGAATGCTGTAGCTATAGATATAGGAACCAAACTTAACTCCTTCGTCAACTCCGTAGACCCAAATACGATTCTGGGTGTATCTGTCTCAAAATGGGAGACAGGACACACCGTAGACTCCCCATGCATCATGCAGCAGAGACCAATCAGCTCGAATCCTTGAAGCTAAAACCATCAAAAATAAACTCATCTTGACTTGACCGGACCCTTCCCGTGAAGTCTCTTGTGGCGAGGACCTGAGCCATCCTGGCCCAGCTTGTCTGGTGGGATCAAACGTGGAAGAAAGGCGCTCTCGTGGGTCAGCTCAGGCAGGAAGTGGCCTGCCAGATACTCTCACCAGCAGCTGACAGTGTTGAAACTGAACTAACGCATGAAACATCGCTAATGTTTGCTTGTCATCCTGGAACCAGAGAATTAAATGTTCATATTCATCCTCAAACAAAACAAAGAAACTCCTTAGAAGGTCTTGCAAGCATCAAAAAATACCAGGTGGCAATTGGATCCCTGTAAAAAATGGAAACATTATTATCCGTCTCTCTGCCTGCTGCTGACAAGGCGATGAGGAAAAAACCTTGGCCAATCCAAGGTGTTGAGAGTCGAGAGCACTGGGTCGAGAGTAGAAGCCAAATCGGGTAATGACATTTCGGGTTTCGATCCTCCGTTTCTGAGCGCATTTTTGTTCAATTTGCGGATATGCAGCACATTTCACTCCCTGCGTGGAGGAAGAACATGAACAACTCCCTTCGTCATGATCCACAACTCCATCAGTTTACGTGAGATCTGCGTCGAACCAACACGCCCGCCCAACTGAGTGCACCACTCAGAAGCCCCTGCGGAAGATCGCAGCGGAGCCGCAACGCGTGACACCAGTGCCGACACAGCAACACTTCTAAAAAACACAAGCCGTCCTGGTGCGTCCTGGTGCTCAAACCCTGAACCTGCTGCTCAAACCCCAGTGGCTGCTAGTGTGATACCATGTCATACCTGGGAAAGATGCTGCAAACCTCTAAGATCCAAATTTACATTTTTTTGGTGCTGGGAAAGCTGGCAACCACCTGCTCGCAACACTTCAAATTTCAGTAACAAAGCATGATGAGTGTCCCCCTAAATGTTCTGAGGAATCCGTCAACAAAGGCCAACATGCATCCGATCGATTTGTTGCCACGTGCAACACCTCAACAGGATAGACCTTTGAATCTGTTGATTGTCACCACCAGCATCATTGGACCATCCATATATAGGTTTAACATGGTTTAACAAGTTTTGATCCTGCATAGCAGGGGTTTGGGCCCTCAAAGCCTTCACCTTTGAGGGGCTCATCCAAAGATCCGACACTTTCTCCGAAGGCAGAACAAGCTTGAGCCACCCAGGGCTTCCAACAAACAAAGCTCCGACAACCCTAGTTGAGTCTCAAAACCAAACCCCCTTTTCCGCTGACACCACAGCTGCTTGAGCGCCAGCCTGGAAGGCCACGTGCCGAAAATAGAGCGCCAGTCCCAAGCCGGAGACGTTCTCCCTGCCGCACGTGCGGAGAAACGCTTCGACCGGACTCTCGGAGCCGAGGACGTTCTCCGTGGGTCGACAGCACCGGTGCAAAGCTGTGACACCCGGCTGCCCGGCTTTGTTCGACCTTGGAGATTCCAAACTCAATGAGTTTGGTGGGCCTGGGTACCTAGAAGCACCTGGAACCACAATTTTGGCCTCAGTCCGACTTGCCCGGGAGGATTCGCGGATTTAAGGTAAATCCGCTCCAGGTAGCAATTTCCGCGGCCAGCAGGGAATTTTTGCATCAAACTAGCAGTTCAAAACCATCACACCTGCCTAACACCGACCAGTTGTGTCTCTTATGTCTCTTCCATGATTGCAGACCACATATCGTTCTGCATGTACATAGTTTCACATCTCAAGATCTGACACCATACGATTTTGACATTTCTATATTCATGACATGCACATCATTCACAAAGACGCTGCGACATATGTTCAAGCCCTTCAAAGGCACGTTCTTGAATCCCGCCTTCTGCCAGGAAACTTTCGCCGTTTTCCCGGGTATTTCCGCCGCTTTCCCAGGTATTTCCGCCTCTTTCCCGTGTATTTCCACCTTTTTCCCCGGGCATTTTCGCGCCAGATGTTTTCAACTTTGGACTGGCTTTACTCCTTGTGTGCTCATTCCGCACAAGAAACCTTCAAAAACAAAGACATGGTAGCCAGATTTGTAGGTGGAGGTGAAAACTTCAGCGCCACCATTCATTTTTCTCATTGAGGACCGTTCGAGGCAGAAATGCCCAATGTAAACAACCAAAAATATTCAACTCCTGTATATAGAATATCTAGTCTCTCACTCGATTCTTGAAAGGGAAACTTCGCGGCAACAAAAACATGTCCGCGGCAAAAAGGTGATTTCCGCTCCAGGACGGGAAGGGCCGCTCTTCCCGAAAAAGGCCAGAATGTCTGCCGAAAGGATCTTCTAGGTATTTCCGATCCCTCCGAGAAGTGGCAAATGACTCCAAGGCCCGGAACAATTCCTTCCGAAACTAGTCAAATGGATGTACTTGAAGTGGACCTCCAAGTCTAAAACCCCAAAAACATGATTAGAACATATGGGTAAACCCTTACGCAAGCTTTGCACCTGCTGATTTTTGAGCCATACCATACCCACTCACGCCAAAGGTTTCATTCAGGACTTGAGAACTTGTCCTGTTGTCCTATCCCTCTCTTGGTGAACATGCCGGATTTGCTGTTTCGAGTGTGGGTTTTCATCCAGGTCGGCCAAGGTGACATCTCTTGTGCCGCTTCGAAAGGATAGACAAAAAGCGGCCCTTTTTTCTAGCAAGACAATGAGTTCCGGCAAATGCAGTTGGCACCATCCGGACATCTGGCGTTTCTTCCCAAAATCTGGAGCCATCTGATGAAGGTTGCGATTTCGATCGGTCAAGTCATGTCATGTCACGTCCCAGTGTCAGCTGTGGCCGGCCTCTGCACATTCGTGCTGAAGGAATACAACCTTGGCAAGGACAACAATGGAGGTGCAAACCAGTGCCAGTGGATGCTGTGATTGAAGTATATATACTGTAACTTCACATGTAGTTACATATATAGATATTTATAGTATATATATTATAGGGAATAGTTCATTTTATCAGAACGGTTCTTTTCTCTAGGCTGGAGGCTGGGAGGTGTTTTTTTGTTGCAGGTTTTCTCTTATGCGGACAGTTTTTTCTTTATGCGGCGGTCTTGTTTATGCTGAAGGAGTGACCTGAAAGAGGGCCCGTCACCTGGAGGACTTTACCGGGATCTCGAAAGTCTTTCAACGAAAACCACCGAGTTGTTTTTGAATGGACTAGATGGACATGAACTGCCACAGGGAATGCCATGGTCAGAAATGCATCAATGCTCATGACAAGAAAGCATCAACCGTGGTTTTAGGTCTTCGGTACAGCATTTTGCGCGCTTAATGCATGGGACACTTGCAACACCCATCTGCCGCCGATGCATCTCTTCGTCTGCTGTGTTGGAAGTCAAGAAGGAGTTTGTGTCTCCAAGACTCTCTCAAGCTGTGCTCCAGTTCAAGACCAGCTGCATCTTTGGAGAGGTGCAAGTTGATCTGATTCTGAGGCGCCGACAGGCACCCTGCTCTCTCCAGCCAAGAGACTGCAATTCCTAAGAACGGTGACCTGGTGAGCAGCGACAGCGGAGCATTGGGGACCGGAAAAGGCGTATGATGCAGGATGGCGCCACGTAACGATCTGCCCATCTGCGGTGAAGGCGGTAGATGCCCCGTCAGTGGCCTGAGCAGCCACGACAGAGTGCAACCTGTGGGCGCCAACGGCCACAGTCGCCGCCAAAGTGAGGATGTCCCCAAGCGCTGGCGGAGCCATCTGCATGTACGGCCCGCAGAAGCTCGGGATGTACATTGGATTGGATTGCCTTAATTTCATGAAAAAGGCTCTTGCACTTACTGTTGTTTTCAGAAAGGTTTATTTTCCAAAAATACGAACAAACAAGGAATCAGACGTAGAAAATAATAGGGCTGAAGACAAGAACAAACATGAAATAGGAAGAAATTAAATATGAAGATGTGACCCGATGGCTGGCTTGGCTTAGCCTGATGAGAGGCAAACACATGAAAATGAAGACTGTGCACTGTATCCAGGAAAAGGGAACATGTAAATAGGTATTAAATCAACAAAAATACATTGAAAGGAAGAAGGAAAAGGAAAGGTGAGAGGGGAGGGTCGACTGGGAGGGGTCTGGGTGGAGAGGTAAGCTGCTTTCACTATTTTCTAGATAATTGCAAATCGACCTATGTTTATGGTTTAATACTATTTTTGCCCTTTTTGCCTATTTTGGAACATGGTCAAACAATTTCCTATTGTTTGATATGATTGTTCCTTTTTCTATTTTCAAAACTTGACCTATCTTTCCTATGTTCGGATCCAACTTTTGACTTGTTTTCGATGTTTTAACATTTGTCTATTATGATCTATTATATATATATATTGTTGTTCTATTTTTTGTGTTCCTTCTAAACGTCCTCAAAATTCTACATGTTTTGCATTTTTGATAAGCCTTAAAGTATAGAAACAATAGGAGAAGTAAAGACATAGGAAACAAATGTCTCAGTTTTGGTAAAAAAAAGAAACAGTATGAAAAAAAATATGACCCCCCCCCAAAACAAAAAAAAACAGTCAATTTTGGAAAATAAAAGCAAAAGGTATTAAAAAAAATGTCAATTATCAAACAAATCGTTTAAAAATATAGGATCAACCACTATAAAATTTACTCGATTTTCAGGAATAGAAATATAGAATAGTATCCAAAAATAGAAAATAGGTCGCTCTTCAATAACATAAAGCAATAAGGAACAAAGGTCTCGGCTGGAAGCCATCTGGGATGCATGTTTAGGAGACGTTGGAACCTTTCATCTTTTGCCCAATTCCTCGACTCGTGTCCTTCGTTTTTCTTGCTTCATTTTCTTTGTCACCTTGTTCTATCGTCAAACAGAATCCGTCTTAAAGGGCCACCGTCAAACAGCATCCTTGTTAAAGAGTCCCCGTCAGACAGAATCCTTGGTAAAGGATCAAAAGAATGGGAAGGAAAAGGAGACGCGGAAAGAACAGGGCTCTCCGCTTTTACTCCCACGGCTGCCACCACCGAAACCTTGGCCGAAACCTCCTAGCATAAAAAAAGAAGCGTGAGCCTTAAACAAACAACACACATACATATATATATATATATATATACGGGCCTGAAAAAGGCACCCGGTGCATAAAAAAACACCCGTCGATCCCAAACCACAACTGCCAATCTATCCGCATAAGGAAAAAACGGGGCTTTAAACAAAGAACAGCCCTATTATATATACTATAACAGTAGTTCTATGTAGTCCTAATTAATGAGGTTCAATGAGGTTTATATGCTGTGATGCGAGGTCCTAGAAACAATTCATACAAACACAAAACACTAAACAAAAGGCGCAGCTGGAAGAATAAAGCATGCGAACAACAGCAGCAAAATGGAAGCGCAATCTCTCTGCATTCATTGATGAAGGAGCTGATTGACCACTGTGCTGTTTTTTTCTTCGCTTCCAAAAACAATGAAACACATGAAAACACAGGACGTCACCAGCCTGAGGAAAAAAAACACAAACATCCAAACGAACCATCTGGCTTTTCCACCCCTCAGCATCGTCCGGATGACCGAATACGATAGGCCTTTTCCTTTACCGCTCGACGGCAAACACATTCCCCGGGTGCTGGGAACTCCCAACACATTCCCCGGCACCTCAGTCGCTGGCTCGGGGACGCTGGGTGGCTCACGGCTCAGAACCGGATGGTCCTACATGGGTCGGGCGAGACGAGACTGTGTGAAGACAAGAAAGACTTCTGTTGCTTCAGACTCACTGACTTGGATGGGCAGCTCAAACCGACCAGTCGAACGAGAGAGAATTGGTCGTCCGACCCGAAGGGCATTCACCCACAGCCAGCTGAGCCAGGCAGTGATCGAGATCCCACTTCCATGGACCAATTTCTGATCAACAACCAATTCCCACGGCAAAAAAGACACAACAGCCAATGGTTCATGCATGTTCGTGCCTCAATTAAAAATCAAAGTTTACTCTCATTTGTGAACCTCAGTGAACCTCCAGGGACCAAATGTACTGAGAGCCCAAGACAGAGCCACACCAACTTTGATGTGCAAAACCTATTCTTCTTCTTCCCCCCCTCCGAATCAGTGGAGAGGAGACGTCTCAGGGTCACCCGGAGGGTGGGGGTACCCCCTGAAAAAGGGGAACCAATAGACCCTCCTCTCGGTCTCCTCGGGCCCCGCGCGTGGTAGTTTCGCACCTTTGCTCGGCGTCGGTGCGCGAGGCAATGCTCCAAGGCACCTGCCGCGAGGCGGTGCACACGGGAGAGGCCACTGGACTTCGTTTCTTTTCATTCTGGCACTTGGTGTAAAAAGGATCCTTGAGTGAGTGAAAGAACATACCAATTCGTAGTTTCTTTTTCATGGTCACCGCTTGTTCCACTTCATGACCAAAAATGATGACAGCTCCGGCTTCTTCCGGGCTTCGGCGAGAAGCTGCCCTCGCCTGGACTCTTGGCCGATCCACAGCTCAAGCACAAAAACCTCGCGACATGTCGGACACGGAGAGACGTCGACTTCGGTCGGATGATCTTTAAATCAATGCAGAACCTGCAGAGGAAGAGTTTGTGTGTCTTTTTGGTCTCCGGGGCAATGGAGGAAGATGAATTTTGCAAGCTGCTTAGGTAATTACTTGAGGCCTGAATGGCTCAACATGAGAAAATCCAAGAAAAGCACAGGGTGTGGAGGCGGTGTGTCTGCAAAAGGGATTCACTTGAACACCAGCCTTTTGAATCTAGTTTTAGATGTTCACATTCATCATCCCGTTTCTGGCCTTGCATCCATCGGAGGGCATGACCCACAAAACAAACATGTACAGTCACTGTACAGTAACACCTTGGGGCATGCATGGATGACTGGGGGGAAGAAGCACTGGATGATTGGAATCTGATTCATAGGCGTCAATGTGGAAAATTCATCACCCATCCAAGATGGGGATATGGAAAACATCTCCCCAATGATCCAAAGGGTCAACAATGGTCAACATTACCCTCCCGCGCCAACGTATATACATATATACACCTATATATATATATAATGACATAGTCTTCTTGATCGACAGCATGCTGCATCACCTGTTGGAATCTAATCTGAGATGCTCAACTGCTGGACACACCGTGGAAAAAGAGAACGACATGAATCGGAGGAGTCACGTTAGGAACCACACTGGATTGTGGGCCATCCACTGTAGGAACCACCTGATACAGTACAATCTTTCAAACACATCGGTGGCTTGCGCGATGCTAGGCCAGGTCCGTCCAAGGTGTTGGGATCACATCCTAGACATCCATGCAAATCTTTAGGAACCAAATCATTCGGCTCGGGCTTCTTCAAGGAAGTCGCCGAGGGGGAGCGTCCTGGCATGCGTCCTGGCACCTAAGAAACTACTGGATCGTTGCCCCCCCCAGGCCCTTGGCCTAAGACAAAAAATCATCAGACTTATCAGACTTCTGTCTTCATACAGGCAACTGACAAGCACGTGCTACCCCAAACCTTGAAAATCATGAGAAAAAAAAACCAAGGGGGTACATGACATCGGCATGACATGGTCGTTTCCCTGTATATAAGACCTCCAGGCCCGATCGCGTCGGTCCCGGTGGCCGGAGCAGAATCAGCACGGAGGAGGTCAAGCAGAAGAGCACGAAGGCCAGGTGGAGAAAGACTCGGTGGAGAAAGACACGGCGTGAGTCGCGCTACATCGAGGTTTCACGCCAAGATGTGTGTATATACCCAGTGTGGGACCACTGTGGCGGAGGCGACGAAGGTACAGATGAGGAGAGCATGCTATACTGGTGGGTTCAGTGTTTTTCTTCAGGATGGCATAGCAAATGTTGGTGAAAACCAGGGATGGTCGATTCGCTTAGGGCGTCAACGTGGAGACAAAGGAAACATCTGCAAAAGGAGTTTCCATGAGTTTCCTACTCAGAATAAGTAATATAAGACAATATTGTTTCCATTAGGCTTTGTCTCAATATTCCGGATAGAGATCAGCAGGCTCCTTCAGAGTGAAAGGGAAGCTCTTGAAAACTAGGATTTTGGAATACAGCTGCCACCTTTAGGGGCGCTTGAAGTCTACTCTGCTCGTGTCCCTGCTAAGAGCATCACGTGCAAGGACTCAAAATCAGGAATACCCATGACTGCGCATGCATGTTAGGAAGTGGTTGCACCCTGGGTTGTTGTTAAGCAACTAATTCACAAATGAAGCCTGAGCTCCAGACTAAAGATCGAGAAGCATTGGCTCTCGCTATGACCACCAAAGAAGTCATCCGGCTGCAGCAGGATGCGGGTGGCCGGCAAGATGCACTCCTGCCAAAGAGCAGCCCTACTTGCGCTTGTTGGCTGGATCTAAAGCATAGGTTAAGAACATTCAACGAGCCCTGAGAATGAACCCATGCCGAAAGCCCCAGCCCCATAGCCCCATATTTATCATATCCCGAATCAATGCCTTACTCTCTCCCTCCTTCTCTATATATAATGAATATATTGGTACAGTTTCTCTGCCTCAAAAAGAACACAAGCCTGATGGCAGCGCACTTCTAAGAGCAGTCACAACGAAAAATAGACTTTTCTCGGGGACGTTTCTTTGGATGACCAGCCCCTACTTTCTCCTTAGGAATCGTTAAACCCTGTAGAACCGCTTATCCTTGAATTTAACTGAAATATTGCTGTATTACATAATCGACTGCTGTAGGCCAGCACCTGAGATTCCAGAATTCTGAGGGGGAGTGGATCATGACTGGACTCATGTGACTTGAGAAAACAAGGCACCTCCCCGCCTGGATAGGGACCCCGAACAAAGCACACCGGCACTCCTCACATCCTTCTTTACTGCAAGATTGGCAGCCCGCCACAGTGCACGCATGGCACACCTGGTCCATGCGACCGCTTTGGATGCGACTGCTTTGGCTGCCCAAACAATCCAAGTCCCGAAAGCACTCAGATTGGTTAAGCCAAAAAGCACATCAACTGGTCGCCCTTTTAAAAACTCATGAATCCTCCGAATCCCATACGCTGACACAATTCCTCGGTCCCTGCATTCTGCTGCAACCGGCCATAGCTATGTGCATAAGTCCTCCCCAGTCATTGTACGTCTGTTTGGTTCCACGGCACCCAGTGTTTGCAGGTTCTACCACCCGAGGATTTTGCCCCACCGTCCAGTGAGATGACAACACAGCCTACTGATGTGCATCAGTCCTCTCAGGGTTGCCTTGTGCTCTTCTGTGTTTCCAGCTGGTCAACCCAAAAGAACGGGTTATCAAAGAACCCAAAAGACCCATCATACCCTTGCCACGTGTCGAAAATCACGCATTCCGTCAGCTTCCCACGCCTGGAAATTGTCGGGATAGGTCGTCATTGGACATGCCTGCAGCACCCGAAAATGCAGTGAACGGGTGCAAACAGCTAAAACATAATGCAAGGCATTGCAAGGCTAGGAAACAGGCAGTATATGGCAGTATTATAGTATCGCTTCCATACAAAGCAGTGTTGAGCATCTTGTGATAGAACATCATGTAACATGTAGCCATATGTCACCGTGAAAAAGTTCCGTCAATCCAATGGAAACCGTGGTTTCGTTCCAACTCGACGCGGACTCTCGGGTTCGCTCATCTCAACCGCTTCGGCTCATCTCTCCCAGCGGTCCTCTGTGCAATCAGTGGCACTGGAGGCCACATGGCCGATGAAATACCTGAAGAAAAGGATATTTCAACAGGGTCAGCAGATGTCAGCAGGGATCAAATGAATCATAAATGAATCAGTTAACTATGAATATGTTAATATGTGACATCAACAATAAAAATAAAATCATACAGTAAATGATCAAATAATATCAAATAATATCAAATATTGAACGAGCGGGGGACCCCGGGAGTGGGACCGGAAGAGAACACATCAACGGCGTCCTCCCGTGGGCGTCGGGTCCCGACGTGTGGCACACCCATACACGGCTAATGGGACTGCCATATATGCCAGGGGTGGTCAATGGGGCGGCATATATTCCAGTCCCATTAGTCGTGTATGGGACATGTTCCTGGGATTCTGGTTGTTTCGTTATGTGTCGTTCAAGTGCATGCCCCAGTCATACACATCTTCCATGCATGGGAAGACGTCCAATCTGGGCTGCATCTTCCAGGTCTTCTGCCGCGGAAGCTCATCGGTTGCCCGAAGAAAGACGGACCACAAACTCCTGGCCATACATGGACTAAGTACTCAAGTCTGGTATGGGATGGTATGGGATTCTACTCAAGTAGATTCATGAAACTTGGTCGGTTGGAGCCTTGAGTTCATAGACCAGAAGATCCACGGGACACTTGCTCGACTAAACCTCCCACGGTCCCTGACATACTTGAGCTTGACTTTTCAGTGCAGTCGGTGAACATGGACGACATCACCATAGACCTGTACTACCCATGTGAGCCGCAACACCTCAACAATCCGACCACCTATGAATACCTTGAATACCTATAGACACTGTCTATGGCCATGTCACAAAAGGACAGCCTGTCCATCTCTTTCCTGAACTCATTCCCAAAGCACCAGCCATTTTGGAGCGGGGGGACCACCATCCCTCCACGTTCCGGTCTCGCGGCGTCTCCGGCCGGAAACCCGTTCCAGGTTCCCCGACGGGGTGTGGTACAGATGGTCGCATTGGTTCCGGGTCGCCCAGGCGTTCACATCCACCGAGTCCATCGCGGATCGAGGTTCTGCGGCTTCACTGGTGTTTGAGGACTGGTGGCAGGTCGTCGACATGTGGAGAGTTCTGCCATGCGCTGGGCACTGGGACATGGGCTTCTGTCTTTTGCAGGTGTCTTTTTTGCAGATGTTGTTCTCGGTGCTGAGTATTTCTGAACACAAAGGAATCTCCCCAGATCTTGGCAGTATAGCATTGCTGCTTGGCCGAAACCGGATGATGTTTTGGGGGCAGGGCTGCCCCTGAAGGATCTTGATCCATGTGACCCCAAAATGGTCCTGCAGGCCGTGCACCAAGTCTCGTGACCAGTGACAAAAAAAAAGCAGGTGACCCTCTGATGTTAGAAACCCCATGGTGATCCGGCCTTCTAGATAGATCTGATGGTAGAGTGCCATGTTGTTTTTTTGTTCAACGTAATGTCGACCACCTCTCCGTGCATCGAACGGTGGTCACTGGGGTGGCACTGGGGTGGACACTAGACAGCTGCAGCATGTCATCGCATATCACCGCAGGGGCCTTGTTGTTGAAGAGCTGTCTGACGTGCCACATGTCAGCTGGCCAGCTGGAGGGCCAGCTGCTTGTCAGCGCGATGCTAGGCCATGCTGGAAAGAACACTTGAGAACAGGGGTTGATGACGAAAGCTAGCAGGGCTAGCTTAAGAAGGAAGGACACAATGGGAATGAAAAGAAGGCCAAAAGCATGGCTCCATTAGGGAATAGGCGGGAATCGAAACGGGGGCATGTGGCAGGAGGGAGCACATTTGTTGAGGAACATTCACGTGGTACCACGTGGTAGGCCATTCCGCCCACCAGCCAAAATCCTACCAAATCAGGAGCAACTTCAGCTAGCTGATGCTAGTGTTCGTTAAACCATCTTTAAGACTGAAACTTTCAGTCGAATGGTGCAGTAGGGCTTTGGCAATCATTGCACACACTATCCGCCCACACCAAGAGCATGCATGGTATAATTATATATGACATATTGAGCACCTGATACACTCCCAAGTATTAAAGGGTCTCAACCGTCTTAACCCCTGTGTGTTCCCTCTTGTGCATATGCATCTAAAATCCTCGGAGCATACAGAAAAATATCATAATTATTGGGTGGTTCCAGTTTTGTGGGGTAAACGACCTTAAAGCTTCTCTCGCGAATGTCGTTCATCCCGGAATTCCAGTATATATAGATGATATTATGATATATTATGATGTTCCAAAAGACTCTGAACTCAATCGCAAACACCAGCATGTGATCATGATTGCTGGGTTCCAGTCAACCAACTGCAAATTGGCCGATGAAACACGCCATCCAAATTCAAACAGTTTTATTTTTCACCTCGCTGGCTCGAGGGCAATGAACAAATGAAACCAACAGGTGCCCTGAACTTGAACCAAAACCATCTGGGGACCACCTTGGGCGCTCCATCCATTCCACCTTGGGTTTCACCCCTCGCTGCTGCTTTTTTTCTTTCTTCCACCACGTGGCCGGTTGAGATCAACATCCATGCTCAGCCCTGGCACAGCTCTGGATCCAAAGAAGGCTGGGGGATTGACTTTGATGGTATCTAACCTTTCAGGAGAGATGGAACATATTGAAATTCGAAAAAACAAACATAATAGTAGATACTTGTTATGGGAACCACGGAACCACCCCAAGTGCATGTGCTGCGATAAACATGAAGGTATTCCATGTGGATGGGTTCTGAATAGCTTTAGACTTATAGAACATCGTGAACAGGTTCGTGTTGCATGCCTCTGCAGCAGAAAACATGAGAGGGTGCAATGAAGAGCATTGGCGCTCCAGACCTTCAAACTGGTAACCATCTACTTCAAAACATCTTTATACATACAGGGCCTGCAGTCATTTGGTTGCATATGGGGCCGGCCAAGGACAAATCATCAAGACACCGGTTCTGGCACGCATTGGATGCACCCATTGGTTCTGGCACCCGGAAACCACACGTTCAAAAGAAACAATCGTGGAACACATTGACCAACAATCTTCCAGTTTCTAGCAAACGTGGTCTTGTCCTGTATCACTCGAAAATATAACAGTGGTACTAACTACTAACAGTGGTGTGTGCTTCCTACACATGGCAATGGTCTCTAAGAAATGTGCTGCGCGCAGATTCGTCAGCCAAATGAAAGCTGGAACGAACGGCTGCCTCTCCATTCGTTTCTCTGCAAACTGCTGACCAGTCCAAGCGTTTGCACCAGGATCACCGGGACCAGCCGAGCCCTCCGAGACCTTGCCTGGCGCTCAGCCTTTCTCTTCTCATCCACCTTCTTCTGCGCCTGCGGGTCTGGATTTTTTGGTGGGAAAAACCATCCCAGCGCTCCCAAACCACCCCCTGGCTTTTGTAGGAAAAAATCGACGCGTCACCCCTGCGGAGGGTGTTTCAGCTCACTTGTGACCGGAGTGCTTCTGAACCATGTCCTGTCCATGAGGCACTCTTGATCAGAGTCGTATCAGCTGCAACTCGTGATCACAGTGCACAACCAGGACTACCGCCCAAGAGTGGGATCTCATCAAGCTCGTGTTTGTTTCACCAGACATCCCTTTTGTGGCAGTAGCTGGAGCAGTTCAAAGATCCTGGCCAGGACGCAACCACCTTGCAATCATTGGTGTGAAGAGCCGACAAGTGTCAATGCTGCTCTTCTCCGTAATCAGTGGTTCTCAGCCGTGGCCTCTCTTGCACAGCAGCGTCAGAGAGTCCAAATTGCTCAACGACACGCATGTAACTAATCCAAATATGAGCCCAAGCAGTATTGTGGTACAGTATATGTTGCAGTTGATTAGCAAGTTGCTTCAACCATCTGTGAATCGTCGATCTATAAACGGCCCACGCTGGAAAGACCTCCATGTCAACCACTGTCCAGGCCTCACGCTGAGTTGCCTTCAACTCCTCCTTCTCCTAGATGGGCAGTGGCACAAAATCAACAGCACAAAAACTCCACCCCAAGAAACTGTTGCTTCGGTGTATATTTTTGGGTGCTCGAATAGGGCCAATGGAGAGGAGCACTGCAGGAATGGAATCTCAAAAATTCAAAGGGCAAGAGACCTGGCCTCTACGTTTTGACCCGACATTGGACACGTTGTCATTCAGAATGATCAACCCATATCAACCAAACTGGTCAATCAGCACACACCTTACGTAGGACCTTATATGCACCGGGGTGAACATACTTTGTGCTGGGTGGGGGTCATCCGAGCTGGATCCCAAGGCTCCTATTGGATTGCATAAGAGTTTTCATTTGTTAATTGATCATCAAAGTAAAGCCATTAATAGATGATAGATGTGATGATCACAACCACAGCAGTCTGGTAAAGGGAATCCAATTTTGGTGTGTCTTTCCGTCTCCACCCCCCCACTCAACCAAACATGACAATGCTGTTAAGCATGTCTGGTGACCAAACAAGAAACTATATGAGAATGGTTGAAGTGTCATCCAATAAATCCAGAAGTATATCACTGCTGTGTGATTAGCTTGAATTTGTTTATATAAATGTATTGAAAAGAACCTTTAAATCTGTCTCAATTTGAGGGAATCATAGGGCATCTACATTCCTTCCTACTAACTAATTCGGCGGTTTCTGCCAGTCCATGACATTCCAATTGACAAGAAAACAACAGAACTTAACTGCGTCATACTCACGTTCACTTCGTCGAACCATGTCTGTGGAGTGGAGCACGGTGTCTTCTCACCGCTTTTGGTTCCTTTTCGTGTCGACGCGAAAACGAAAACTTCCTCCCCAGCCCGAAAAAAAGACGGAGGTCAACCTACCGGGGATCAGGGGTCAGTTTGCCCCACAGCCGGTCTCCGGGTTAGGTCAGCCTACGCAGCCCCTCCGGGGCCAGGCAGCAGCGAAGGTCGTACGACGGAGGCCACGGAGGAAGGACGGAGGCCTCAGCGGTCATCTTGCTCATGCCACGCTTGGCGAAGGCCTGAGGTCATCAATCTCGGCACAGACGTGGCACAGTCATCTCTTAGTTCACATGAATCTAGTAGCACATGCAGGGTCAGCAGCTCAGTTCCATTGTCATGGATCATGAGTATATATATATATATACCACATCTGGTTAAAACAACAACAACACATAACAAGTAGAACAAGTCGAAACAGTACTCTGAATGTAGCTTGGATGAATTTGGATGAGTTTGATACCGACTATACTTGCGCAGACCAAACGTGCTTGAGGTAGAGAAGTAAAGCAGCCAGTGACCCCTTTGATGGCTCTGATCTCTTGACTTTTTAAAGACCTCTTCACTGAGGTCTTCCTTAAAGCTTTGATGGCCATTTCCTGGGCGTGTCGCGGGGGCAGTCCCGCGCCTGATTGCGCACGAAGCGGCAATTCCTCGGCAACCCCACGAATCAAGCGGAGTCCGAAGCGGTCAGGAGATCCATCGAAGCGGTGCATGCTCTATGTTATTGACCTATCCCAGACACTCCATGTATGCCATATGTGCCTATATTGGGGTGGTTTTGGGGGTCAATGTAGGCATATATGGCATATACATGGAGTGTTTGGGCATGGAAAAAGCTACCAAGTACTCCGTGGCAAGGGTGCTGGGACGTGACATGATTCAACCGAATGGTCTTGGAGTCTTGAAGGTAAAAGTGCATCCTGACAACGTCTTTGGGCCCAATGGGTTTTGAAAGACAACACTTACTCTCCCACCCACTACCCAACTAAAATGAGAGGAGTTGTCTTGGGAGCACTTCTGATGGGTGAAATATCCATCAAAGCACCCATAGCTTTCGATCATCTTGTCTGACCTCGTCACGTCTGCCTTGCACTTTCACGACCACTGGAAGAGAAGTAGAAGCGTCGAATCGGAAGTCAGACTGGAATCTCTGATGACCTCATGTCCGATGACCTCATGTCACATGTCCAAACTGTTGGGAAAGCTGTGAGGCCTTCTGGTCTTTTGGTCAAGATGACAAACATTGACAAACAGCTGGACCTTCCACCTGGACCTTCCACCACTCCTTCCACCCTACTTGGGCTGGTCGGACCAGGCTGGTTTCTCCCGGTGGGGTGGCAAACCACAGGACCACGGCGGACCTGGCGACTTCCCCGACGAGGTCGTTGCCCCAGTCTACCACTGGTGATGGGAAGAGTAGTAGAGTAGATTCACAAAAAACCGGTCAGTGGCAGGGTTTCCAAAGCTGTGTCTTCACTCTTCATGAATGAGGAAAAATACCAGTGAAAAGCGACGCTCAGAACAGCCCAGGTGCATCCCTTCCATGGACATCTTCCGTGGGCGCCGAGTCTTCTTGATGCCATTGCGGTGGTTCTGGCCGCTGTCGGTCGACACTGAGACCATGTAAGGAGGTGTACGGACAGAAGTATAGAACCCATCTGGGCCATGTGTCCTTCCAACATATTAACATATACACATTATATATGCGAGTGGATCTTAATCAGCGAAGTTTGAAGCTATCACTGACGGTCCATAAGCGGCGTAGCGTCGGAACGGGAACCGCACCTTTTCTAGTCGCTTGATCCTTGAGCCAAAGTACATATGGTACATATATATGTACAAGTTGCACTGTACGTGTCGCTGCACTTCCATTCGCACCCCCCATGTGAACGGCAACAATATGTTCCGATCACACACGAAAATTTAGGGATGTAAGTGCTACGAAGGAAATTGTATGATTTGCCGCGAGACTCATATGAGGCTCATACTACAAAACATGCTGGACTAAAGCGGACTTTTACATATAAAGTGTGCAACTATGGCTCAGAACCTATGAAAAAAAAATCGAATTGAACAAGTGAGACAGTCACGAGGCCTCGCTCAGTGTCCACTCAAAAGAGCATCGCTTTGATGTAGATCCGAACTGGTGACTTCCACGTAGATGTCACATCGGCAACTGACTTCACACTTCTCAAAAGATGTAGGTTTTAGTTTGGATACACTTACAGAACGGCAAGTCGGAGAGACAGTCGGTGATTGTCTTCCTTCCATTATGCTCATGGTATCAAATCAGATTGACGATTTGCAATGATACACTTACAGCGTTTCAGGTCAGATAGACATCCGGTGAATGACTTCCTCCCTGGTTTGCATGGTATCCTCATAGTCGTTCAAAGAAATCACCACTGGTGATAACCTCTCCATCCACGATGATCCCAGCTGCCCTGAGCATCCCACCGATCATCTTCTCCCTTCTTGGACTTTCCCTTGGACTTGCTCTTTCCCTTTCCCTTTTCAGATGGTTGAGGTACTTCGCGATGTTCTTGCGTTAGCGCCGGCCTCCAAGATGTTCCAGATTGGCCTCCTCCTTTGGAATGTCCTCGGGATGATGAAGAAGTTGTACCTTCTGCTGCATGTGTGTTGGCGGCAAGATCTTCCTGCAAAGCCTGCTCGAACACATCGGTAGCACTGGGTGGCGATTTATCATGTGGTCTGGCTTTTAGAACAGCCTTCGCCTTGTTCTCCTCTGTTGATGAGGGCCCGAAACTCTTAGGTGCTGTTGAAGGTTTTGGCTCCTCACTTGGTGCTGACGACGGCTTGGCCTCGGTTCTGGGTGTAGATGCTGGCTTTGCCTCAGCTCTTGACGAAGATGCTGTTTTCGCTTCAGACTTAGTCGTTGATGTTGACTTAGCTGTTGCCTTGGCTGCCTGCTTCTTCTTGCCCTGAATCTCCTTGGCCCTATCTCCAAAGCCTAGACGATTGGTAAGAGCTTGAACATGCTTATGTTCTACCACGCTCATCCATCTCTCTGTATGTCCAACGTTGGGGTTTCTGGCCATTGACTCTATGACTTCCTGGGCTTGTGGGGGTAACCTGATCTCATGTTGATCAATGATCAACAGAATAGACTTCTCCCACTTGCTCTTCATTCTTGAGTACATGATGTACAGAGGATCGATCACCTTGTGGTTGGGTGATGTAACGTCGGTTCTAAAGTAAGAATATGTCCGACAACCATAAATCGCATGGATGCACTTCTGTACCAATTCAGTCATTGCGCTGGCTTTCTTCACTTTCAACTCCTCAAGCTGGGCATCAGTCAAGTCGGTGGAGTGTTCGAAGTTGCCATATTCCTCCTTGAAGGAGTTCGGAGTATGACCAAATGATAGGATCATGAGTGCTACCTTGCAAATGAATTGCTCCCCTCTGAATCGGTGCCAGGCCTCCTCAGTTGTAACATTGTTGTCGTTGGCAAAGATTAACATCATCTCATGTGTTGGATCCAATGGTCTCCCATCGCCATCGACTTCAGTCGAATCTCCTGTACCGAACTTGCTTATCACATCCAGACGCTTCTTTTTCCAATTTGCTTTGAAGTCGGTAAGACTGGTGCAATAATAGCTCTTGTACATCAGGGAGATCATGCTCAGCACACATTTGACCACATACCTATCCATCAAACCCGATGCTTTCACGGAGACGTCCTGACAGTAGGCTCCCTCTTGGTGCGCATAGATTCGAGGTTCCGGTACTCGACAATAGATGGGGAGATCCTCGTTGTCTTTTCCTTCTTCGGGATTGAACTCGGTCGCTCCATGCTGTGCATAGTATCCCGGTTCATCACGATCTGTCGGTCGATTCGCCTCCGGATGTAAGTCGTCGGTGACGTCTTCATCCTCGGGCTCACCATCTTGACGTTTCTTCCCCTCATATTGTTGTGTGCTCCTCTGGATCTCGATGATCATATTTCGTTCATCTTCATCTTCTAGATCAGAATCACGACCGTAGTCGATCTCGTCCTCATTGAAAGATGGGGTCTCGACATTGTCACTCTTGAAGTTTCTGCACCATCAGACGGTTTGGAAGGATCTAGATTGTCCATGTCCTCGTCGTCGTCAGCTGCTTCAGTTTGAGCGATGTCTTCTTCCCAAGCCCTTCTGATCTCGTCCATAGTGGCCTGGTCCAAAGTATCTTGAACATCATCTTCAGGCTCCTTCTCTTCCTTCTTTTCCTCTTCATCGTCGGTCACAAGATCAACGGGTGAATCGGAAATGACAGTGTTGCGAATACCACACGAGAGTAGTCTGCCTTGACAAGATAGACACACGGACAAAGATGAAGAAGTCAAATGCATACATGATGGACACAAAATAGTGCCATCCACGTTGCGATATCCTTCACATGTTCTGGAGATGATTTCGTCCCAAGTTTCCTCACTGATGGAATCCTCGATCAGCTCTCCATTGTCATCGAATTTTACTTCATCGATAAGGGACACGAGCTTTTGGACGTTGTCATCTGTCGCCGAGGCTGACTTCGTGACTTCGTCGGCTCTCTCGAGGATGGTATGCTTCTGAGCAACCCAAAGTCCATGACGCGCCGCTAGAACAACTTGCTCTCCGGTGCTTCCCAGCAGGAGTCTCCTCCATGCCTGAACGTGGTCGTCCCAATACCAAGCACCTCGTACACATCTCCATGGAACTTCTCTAAAAACAACAGTGTAGGAATTCTCCGAAATTCTTCCCCCAAGCTTCCTCAAAGTCATGATTGGAACATAAAGGCATACGGGCATTCCCCCCCTTGGCCATCTTGATCTCAGAATCTTTGATGATCGATCATCCCACGGCGCAAAGTGGTTGAAGAAAACACTACCTCTATATCCCTCCATTCCACCAGGGACAATTCCTAGTTTCATAATTGACTCAATATTGGAAAGCGATGTCATGTGAAAGCTTCCTCCAAGCTGCATTGCCACATTCTCTGGAATGAGATGTGAAGTCCACGCAGGATATATTGACACGTCCTCTTCAAGAACAGTCTCTCTTCCTGAATTGTGAGAGGCAACAGCTCGAATTGCACAAGGAATGATCCAACGTTCATGCTTCAGAAATGATGGTGCGTCTGTGCCGTAAAACATGAGGTTTGCCCAGTATTGCCTTTCCTCTTCGAGTGAGACATCCTCCTTTGAGATGCGAATGGCGGCAATCTGATAGCGTACTCTGTTTTGCAACTTCTTTGCATGCCACATCGCCTTGCACAAATATTGGTATCGATCTGTCTTGGTATCTTGCTCACGTTGAGTGCCTGAGATAGTACTGATATTGACACCATCGCTGAAGACATGATCATATTCCAGGATCTCATCGATGTTCACCCATCCACCCTCATTGCACTTCGGGGACACATGTGGTTTTCGACCGCGGTGCGATTGAATCCCATTATGCTTTCCCACTCCATGCCTGAGTAGTCTATTGAGTCTATGGCTAATCTCGCTGACCCACTGACTCTCCTCGCTGGACTTGTCGATGCGAATTGCTGGGTTCATCTTTGGTGGATCCGTGAAAGTTGCATCTCTCTTCGGTCCATTCCAGTACTCCACATAGAATGTAACTCCATACTGTGGAATTATCTCGATGTTTCCTCTATCGCAAGCCACCTCAATCTGCCGATATCCAGCCTTTTGAAATTGTTGTGGATCAGGAGCAAGGTCCTTCACTTTGGGCATCTTTATTCCGAGTGCTGCAGCCTCCTGAATAAGTGCATCAAGTTCCCTCTTTCCATCGGGACCTGATCTATCAACCCTGTGATTTGCGACCTTGTATTCTCCTCCTTCTTTGTCATCGGCAATGTCAAAGAGGTCGACGGGCTCTTTGAATCTGGTGACGAAACTGGCGTTCCCAAAGGCCTTCTTGGTTGCCTCGACCGCTTTCGCGTATTCCTCTTTTGCAGAGTCTGACGAATGTGGTCTACCTTTGGCTCTCGGAGAGTAAGGTGGTACCTTACTTCCTAGTTCCGGTTCTTCTTCGGGAAGTTCAATATCTTCATCATCCACATCCATGTAGTCCTCGTCTTCGACGTCTTTGGATGACTTTGCTTTCCTCTTTCGGTTTTCAACATCACGTCGGATGATTGCCTTGTCGTTCTCGGTGAAGCACTTGCGCATAGTGTCCTCCATGTAAGAAAATGATTTCATCAACTCGTTCTTCTTCTCAGTGTCGGGACAAATAGCCAGGTGATGTTGGTTTGAACCACAACAATAGCACACCATTTGGCTCTCTGCGCGTGCTCTGACCCTTCTGAGGTTGTCATAGGCGGATTTCCAGCTGGAAGCGGTTGCTGCACCTTGCCCACTGCGCTTGGCAGCTCTTTTCCGTTCTTCAGTATCTGGATTCGATGTCGGGTAGTTTGACCATGTTTTCGTCGGAGATACTGAACGACCTTCCCCTTCCTTGTAGTCTTGCGGGTCAAGCTCAGGCGTAGGTGGTTCAGGCTCCTCGACTCCTGGAGTGGTACTCGCAGGGTCGGCTTCGCCATCCTTCATCTCTACATCAGGCTCTTCCGTAGACGTTCTTTTGGGCTCTGGGGCTATGGCCAGTCGTACCATTCTCCTGAACTCTGGTCTG